TCCCACCCAAAAGCTTCCGTTGTCCCCACTGCAGACATAAAACCAGAAAAGGATATATGTAACCCCAGCCTAAAGCCCACATGTGCTCTGTGCCCAACGTAATAACTCACAAGTACTACCGATCTGCATTTTGGCCAGGAGAACCTTGGGTCCCACTCAGAAAAGTCATCTACACGCTGCATGCAGGGACCCTGACTGCTATGTTCATCTCCCAGATTCTCTCCTCCTGAGTCATCTAATATTGCAGCTGGCTAATTAAAACATCAAAGCCCCAAGTACAACAGCCCTGCCAGCAGCCTCCTAATGCCTGGTTTCAAGTGTGTAATCCCATGAAACCCAGGGTGGAGAGTGGTACGACTTGCACTCGGACAGCCAATTACTCGACTCTTAATGACCATCCCTCGCACATCTGGGACCTCCACAGATGACCTCTTTTATTAGTCCTGTTCTCTCGCTCCTCCCACTCCCTGGCAACGAAGACTCAGCTGCTGCCCACAGGCCATAGCCCGCTCCTCCTCCTCATGCTTGGTCCCCCACCCTCTGAGTCCTAGGCCCAGATCCGATGTCATCACCACATCTGTCATCCCCGCCCTGGGATTCCAGCTGCGCCTCAGCCTCTACGGCATTCACGTGGGTGGTCGAGAGGGTTTGTGAACTGGTTGAGTGAAACCTGGTATGTAGGGAGAATGGCTGGGGTGTCTTCATGTGGGCAAGGTGGGATTTTTCTTTCTCAATGATACAGGTTGTTGGCACGATCAGAGGGATATGTTTAATACAATGCTCTGCCCAGCCGTGACTTCCATCACCTCCAAGACTCCTCTTGGAAGAGACAGGAGGGGAGACCAGATCCTAAAGAAGTATTTATTGTTAACCATGAAGTGGGTTATTTGTATGTAACTTCCTAGGGAAACATGGGCACAATAACTTAGACAGGCTAGAAAGTATAAATGAGGAACAAAGGGAAGAATTCATCCAAACCTTTGTCATGCTCCCAGTGTGGTAGGATAGTAATAATACTTGCAGAAGTACCAATACTACAGGTAGTACTAATACTTCTAATACTATAAGTCGGGCTAGTAGTCACGTAATAATAACATTTATCATAGTAAGTGATGGCTAACATTTAGGGGGTGACAATGATCATCCAAGTAAGAGATGACTTGGTCAGGGTGCTGGCCAGTGGAGGGGCAGAGGATGGATTCTAGAGCTAGTTAGAAAGCTAAAATGGGTAGGAGTCAGTGATGGGTTGGGTGTAAAAGATAGAGAACAGGCTGGTGACTAAGAGAGCTCCCACCTGTGGCTTGTCCAGCACAGATGGTTGGTAGCACCCAGCACTGAGATGGAACCATGGGGAGGACCAGATCTAGCTGGGGTGGGGAGATGTGGAAGATTATGAATCCTAGCACCTTCCACGTGCTCCCCGTGATGCCACAGCCTGCACTCTTCTGGAGCAATCTTTTTTTTTTGAGATGGAATCTTGCTGAGGTGCAGTTGTGCGATCTTGACTCACTGCAACCTCCGTCTCCTGGGTTCCAGGGATTGTTCTGCCTCAGCCTCCCAAGTAGCTGGGACTACAGGTGCATACCACCATGCCCACCTAATTTTTTGTATTTTTAGTGGAGATGTGGTTTCACAGTGTCAGCCAGGATGGTCTCGATCTCCTGACCTCATGATCCACCCACCTCGGCCTCCCAGAGTGCTAGGATTACAGGCGTGAACCACCACTGGAATGATCTTTAACAGCGGTGTGCTCTTCCCCTACCTCCTGTTCCCCGGGATCCAACATGGCAGCAGGAATGCTTTAACACAGAACTCTTATTCCACTGGCTGCAAAGGTGGCCATGATAGGTCTCTTACCTCAGGACCTTTGCATGATCTGTTCTCTCTGCCTGTAAACCCTTGCTTCCTCCTCTTTGCCTGGCTAGCACGTGCTCACCTTCTGGTCTTGACTTAGAGGTCAAATGTCTCTTCTATGTGCTCCCACTCCCCTTTGCTGCCAAAGTCCCATGTAATGGCATTCATTGTGCTAAATCGATTTCAATGGCTCATTCAGTCATCATCACCCCCCACAGGACTGTGACTTCAGGGAGCAGAGATCACATCCATCTAGTTTGTCACTATAGTCTTGGTCTCTGCTGCCTTGCCTGGCACATAGGAACTACTAATAAACATGTTTTGAATGAATGAATGATTCTTAATGGTCAGGAGACAGAATAGTCAAGCTGTTTAGGGCATGCTTGGGAGCCAGACTGCCTAGATTGGACTCCTTTCTCCAGCTTACTAGCTCTATGATCTTGCACAACTTAGTTAACCTTTCTTGCCTCAGTTTCCTAATCTGTCGAATGGGGATAATAAGGTTGTTGCTGGGCACATAGTAAGTGCTCATTTAATGTTAGTTTTCAATATTAGTCCTTCACAATTCTCTGTGACTCCTATCTTGGACTCAGCCCATTTGATCATAATTCACAGCTACCCTCACCAGCATGAGCTCCTCCAAGCCAAGAGAAGGGTGCCCTGCTCCTTTCTGATTTTATCTCCTTACCCTCGCCCTCATGCATACACCCCAGCCACACTCAAACTCCTTGCTGGTCCTTTGAACTTAACAAGCTCATTCCCACATCAGTGCCTTTGCACTTGCCCTTCTCCCTTTAACTTAGTTACAGTCACCTCCCCATTTTCTCTTCTTATCATCACCTGGAAATTATACTAATCCTATGTTAGTTTACTTACTGTGTATCTCCAATTCTACCACATAACACTCCAGAGAGTCCTTGTCTGTTTTCCTCACTGCTGAATCCCCAGTGCCTATTTATTGAGCATATATTAGAATAGGTGCTCAATAAATACTGAGTACCCCCCCCCCAAGGACTGTGACTTCAGGGGAGCAGAGATCACATCCATCTGATTTGTCACTATAGGCTTGGTCTTTGCTGCCTTGCCTGGCACATGGGAACTACGCAATAAACATGTGTTGAATGAATGAATGATTCCTAATGGCCAGGAGGCAGAATAGTCAAGCTGTTAAGGGCATGGTTTGAAATTAACATAAATAATAATACATACTGAGCACCTATCATAATGCATGCTCAATAAATAGGCACTTAAAATCCCACAATAAATAGGGGATTCAGCAGTGAAGTTGAAAGTACGAATGCCCTGCCTCAAGGTTACTGTGCACTGACGTACTCTGCATGAGTGTCACTTAACGTTGACTCATCTCCCTGCCCTTGCTTGGCTTTCACATCAGAGTGTGCCTACTGACTCTCCCCTCGAGTTACTAAGTGATCAGTGCTTGCCTGATACACATGTGTGCCTGTGCCTAGGCGGGTACACAGTAACCCAGGAGCATCCAAGAGAGACGGGATCCTAGGCCAGATGTGGTAGCTCACACCTATAATCCCAGCATTTGGGATTGAGGCAGGAGGATCACTTAGTCTAGGAGTTCAAGACCAGTCTGGGCAACATAGTGAGACCCCTGTCTCTATAAAAAATTAGCTGGGTATGGTAGCACACACCTGTAGTCCCAGCTACTTGGGAGGGTGATGGGAGCCTAGGAGGTCGGGGCTTCAATTAGCTATCATTGCACTGTACTCCAGCCTGTGTGACAGAGCAAGACCCTGTCTCCAAAAAAAAAAAAAAAACAGACAGACCGAATCCTTATCAGTAAGGTCTAAAATGAATGGGCCAACACTGGTCAGCCTGAGACTTATCCCCTGTACTTACTGGTCAAATTGTGTGCAGGGTGAAGACAAATGGGGGACTAAGGTGTTCAAGACAGAGGGGACAGTAAGTGCAAAGATCCTGAGGCAGGAACAAGCCTGGCAGTTTTAAAAGGCAGAAACCTGGCTAGACATGGTGCCTCACGCCTGTAATCTCAGCACTTTCGGAGGCCAAGGTGGACAGATCATGAGGTCAGGAGTTCGAGACCAGCCTAGCTAACATGGTGAAACCCTGTCTCTACTAAAAATACAAAAATTAGCGAGCATCTGTAATCCCAGCTACTCAGGAGGCTGAGGCAGGAGAATTCCTTGAGCCCAGGAGGCAGAGGTTGCAGTGAGCCAAGATTGCGCCATTGCACTCTAGCCTGAGTGGACAGAGCAAGACTCCATCTCAAAATAAATAAATAAATAAATAAAATAATAAAAGGCAGAAACCCAAAATGTGGGGACAATATTCTTGGCTTCAAAAATTGTCAATTTATTTTATTATTATTTGTCTGAGATGGAGTCTCACTCTGTTGCCCAGGCTGGGGTGCAGTGGCACAGTCTTGGCTCACTGCAGCCTCTGCCTCCCAGGTTCACGCGATTCTTCTGCCTCAGCCTCTCAAGTAGCTGAGATTACAGGTGTGCACTACCACGCCTGGCTAAATTTTGTATTTTTTAATAGAGCCAAGGTTTCACCATGTTGGCCAGGCTGATCTCGTACTTCTGACCTCAAGTGATCCTCCCGCCTCAGCCTCCCAAAGTGCTGGGATTACAGGTGTGAGCCACTGTGCCTGGCCCAAAATCTTTCCATTTAAATCTTTCTGTTTTCCCAATACTTACCAGAAATGGTGAGTTTGGGCTGTCACAGAAAGGCCTAGAAATCCAAGTAAATCAACCCAGCTTTAGGTTTGACTCCTTGGTGCTGGGGGCTATTACCATTCAAAGAGGCTGATGGTGTCCTTTCAGTCATGTATTCATTCAACAAATGGCCACCGAGTCCTTCCTCACTGTGTCAGACCCTATGCTGGAAACCAGGGACCACCTTTGAGTTTCTCACCCCTCTCCCTAGAGCAGAAACCAAGAGGCTCTTCCATGGTGTTTCTTTCCATGTAGGGAAAATCAGGTTCCCGGAACCTTGTACATGTCAACCAGGGAGAGCTGGATCTTACTCTGGATCCAGACAGTTGGTCACTCAAGACAGATCCCAGGAAGAACAATGGCTCTCCCAGCCCCCGTGGAGACAATGTTAGTCCACTCAAGACTCTGCCTCATCTTCACCTTCATTCTCTCCTCCAGCCTCCTGCCTCGGGAAAACAGTCCCCCACAAAGAATGGCAGCCCCTCCAAGTGTCCACGCTTCCTCAAGGTCAAGAACTGGGAGACTGACGTGGTTCTCACTGACACCCTCCACCTTAAGAGCACATTGGTAAGTATCCCAGCAGGGTGTAGACAGCAGGGTGGCAGCTTCATCACGATCCACATTTGGCGTCAGGTAAGTCTTTGTTGTGGGGGCTGTCCTCTGTTGTAGGATGTTGAGCATCACCCCTGACCCATATCCCCTAGATATTAGTGTACCCCCCTTCCAGGTTGTGACAATCAAAAATGTCTCGGACAGAGCAGGAGCACCGTCATCTTGGACAAACACTGCCATTTTAAGTTCTAGCTCCCTTTCTAATCACATGCATTTCAAGGAAATCAATTCTCTTCTAACAACAAGCAGCCAGAGAAAGCAGACAGTAAGACACAGATAAGACAGCTGGGGCACAGAGGAAAGTGGGGGGAAAGTCGACTGGGTAACCACCAAATTTCACACTCATACAATGGACCCCAGTAAAACAGTGGGCCTTAATAAGCACATTCCTTTCCCTTTGGGTGCACTAAAATAGGGAAGCTAAAAGCAGACTGGGGGGGTATGCCTGCAGCTGCAGGAAAATGTATGGGAACAGACACAAAAATACTCCCTCCCAGATAAGCGAGACAAAGAGACACAGAAACATTCCAAGCCTGTGATAAGCTCTACCACCCTAAATCCTTAAATACTCTTAGTCTGTAAAAAAGAGTGCTCTGCATTAGTACAGATAACTAATGCATGTGGGGCTTAAAACCTAGATGATTGGTTGATAGGTGCAGCAAACCACCATGGCACATGTATACCTATGTAACAAACCTGTATGTTCTGCACATGTATCCCAGAAATTAAAGAAAAAAAAAATGCTCTTAACCTAACTCACCCAGAAGCCCCTCTCAGGTTATTCTTTAAAATAAACCTGTCTCTGACTGTTAAGCCACTTTTCATGTTTCTTTCTTCCTTCTTCAACTCTTACAGTCTCCAAGACATTGCCTAACATCCCCTGGGCAAGAAATTCACCCCTTTTTGAGAACCACTGGTGGATTCTCACTGTCTTATGTAAATGCTTTTTATTTGTGTACCCAGGACGCAAAAGAATCTAAGGAGAGTTGCTGCTTCTGAATACAGTCTCTGTCTCTCATAGCCTGACCACTGTTGGATTATTGAACAAACCCTTCCTTGGTTTCACAGTGTGTCCTCAACACTCATGTTTTTAGCAGTCAACAAACCACCATATTGCTTTAAATTTTTGTTGAACATGGGCCTCTTGGAGCAATGGTATCTTTAAATTGTTACAGTGTAATAAATTGCCCTGAAATTTAGTGGCTGAAAACACCTATTAAAACTGTTTCAAAAGTCTACAGATTGGCTGGGAGGTTTCGTGATCTGGCCCAGACTCTGTTGATTTTAGTGGGGCTTCCTCATGCATCTGTAGTTATCTGAGGGGTCAACTAAGAGCAGAGAGGTCTAGGATGGTTCTGGCTGAGATAACTCAGCCCTGTTCCATGGGGTCTCTCCTCTTCCAGCAAGCTAGTTTGTGCTTATTCGCACATAGTTGCAGGGTTCTAAGAGAATGAGAAGAAACATGCAAGAACTCTTGAGGCCTAGACTCAGAATTGTCACAGGGTCATTTCTGCCATATCCTAGGGTCAAAGCAAGCCCAGTGTCAAGGGGTTAAGGGGTAGGCTCCACTTCTTCATGGAGAATTGCTGTAAAGCCACGTTGTAAAGGATATGAATACAGTAAAGGGAAAAATTAGGGCCACATTTTGTAACCTATCTATCATAGATGCATTCAAATGAGTTGCTGTAGCCACTCTATTAGTTCTTTCTTGATCATCATGGAATCTAAAAATATTTCAGAATTTAGTGCCGATAATTCTGATTCCTAGTCAAAAGCTTCTGTTCCCCAAGATGAGTAGAGCAGATTCTTTAGGAACCTTAAAATGCTGCTTATTGTTCCTTACCATGGCTATGACCATATCCAGCAAGGATTTAAAGCTGGTGCTTCAGAAATTGCCTCTGGGAATTAAGAGCCAAATAAACTCAAACATGAATATCAGATCCAAGCCCATAGCCTGACACCTGCCACTCTTGGGTAAAACCAAGCAATAGCCCAAATCTCTTTATCTTCCAGGAAACAGGATGCACTGAGTATATCTGCATGGGCTCCATCATGCTTCCTTCTCAGCATACACGGAGGCCTGAAGACGTCCGCACAAAAGAACAGCTCTTCCCTCTCGCCAAAGAGTTTATTGATCAGTACTATTCATCCATTAAAAGGCAAGTGTGTATCAACTCTGGGGAGTCTGGGATAAGTTGTCGAGTGCTGGAGACAAAGATGTCACTCCAGCTTTGCAGACAGATAAACCAAGGCCAAAGCACAAGGCCTCTGCCATACACAGAGGCTGGAAGATGACTACCACAGGTCACATCTGTTCCCCAGAAGTGCTTTTGTTTCTCCTGCAAAGGGTTGCTTATAATTTGAAAGATTTCAAGCAATTCCATGCCTAGATACATACCCTAGAGAAACTCTCACACCTGTTCATAAGAAGCTATGGGTAAGAATGTTCACTGGAACATTGTTTATGGTAGGAAAAAATTAAAATTAAAGAACAACAAGAGACCAGGCACAGTGTCTCACACCTGTAATTCCCAACAGTTTGGGAGACCGTGGCAGACAGATCGCTTGAGGCCAAGAGTTCAAGACCAGCCTGGCCAACATAGTGAAACCTTGCCTCTACTAAACATACAAAAATTAGTGGGTCATGGTGATGCACTTCTATAATCCTAGCTACTTGGGAGGCTGAGGCATGAGAATCACTTGAACCCAGGAGGTAGAGGTTGCAGCCACCCAAGATCATGGCACTGCACTCCAGCCTGGACAAATAGAGCAAGACTCCATCTCAAAAAAAAAAAAAAAGAAAGAAAGAAAGAAAAAGAAAAACCAACAAGAAACCACATAAATGCCATTAACATTGAATGGGCAAGTTGTGATACATTTCAGTGATGGAATACTATACAACCATAAAAATCAAAGATACTAGCACTCTGCATGTTAATAAAATTGAAGTTCATAGCTAACTTTGAGCAAAAGAAGTGATAAATTATAGAAGGATACATCCATTATAGCACCATTTATATGAATATTTTATTTATTTATTTATTTATTTGAAACAGAGTCTTGCTCTGTCACCCAGGCTGGAGTACAGTGGCATGATCTTGGCTCACTGCAACCTCTGCCTCCAGACACAAGCAATTCTCTGCATCAGCCTCCCGAGTAGCTGGGATTACAGGCATGCATCACCACACCCAGCTAATTTTTGTATTTTTTGTAGAGACAGAATTTTGCCATGTTGGCCAGGCTGGTCTCGAACTCCTAGCCTCAAGTGATCTACCCACCTCGGCCTCCCAAAGTGCTGGGATTACATGAGCCACCACACCCAGCCTATATGAATGTTTTAAACACGCAGAGTGACATTGTACATGGTTGAAGGATAGATATACATGTGGCAAAGGTATAAACAAATGTATGAGAATGATAAACACCAGTTTCAAGATAGCAGTCACTTCTGGGGAGAGAATGGGCTACGATGGGGAAGTCTTCCCCAATAAACTATTATATTACTTTTTAGACTTGGGATATGGGGGGTTGTTATATTATCCTGTATAACATTTTGAAAACCAAAAAATTTCCGTAGTAATTTTTTTAACTTTCTAAAATTGAATTCATTGCCAACACTTAAAAATTGGAAGAGTTCCCTTTAAAAGTCAGATTTCCAGCTTCTCTGGAAAGATTTGGCAGTCCTGGACCCCCATTCCTGTCAAGCAACAGCTGGTAGGAGTGGAGATGTGGCTGCCCGCTTTGGACAAGGCCTGGCCCACCTGTTTGCCATAGTCCCCACCCAGCTGGTGTAGTTATATGTACAATGTTCAGCCTTTATGGGCATTGGAGTTTGCTGTGTCTGCTTTATCTTGCTTCCAGACATCAAACTGTTGCATCCAGAAATCAACTTGGAACTTTTTGTAGCTTCCAGCCTCTTGGAATAGCTCTCCCGTTCCACCAACTTCTAATTCAGAAGATGGGGTAATATTCTCATGTCCTTTCCTCTCCACTCAGATTTGGCTCCAAAGCCCACATGGAAAGGCTGGAAGAGGTGAACAAAGAGATCGAAACCACCAGCACCTACCAGCTCAAGGACACAGAGCTCATCTACGGGGCCAAACACGCCTGGCGGAATGCCTCGCGCTGTGTGGGCAGGATCCAGTGGTCCAAGCTGCAGGTAGGTGGTGAAGTCAGATACCTTGAAGAGCCCTTAAATGAGGGAAGAGGAGAAGGGGAGTGAATGGTGCTTTAGAAAGGATACATACGCTTCTACCAAGGGTACCTGGTGGCCAGGGTGACCTATCAGATAGCGGTCATGGGGTCCCACATTCTAAGATCACAGCCAGCTCTAGATGATAATCAGGTGTCATTTAGCCAACACAGTAGTTTTGTAAAAATGAACTTGCATATCTCTTGGGAGGGAGGGCTTATCCTTTTCAGTTGACCGCAGACCTCACCACTCCCTTTTGTCTTGCACCTACTTGGCTTATTTATGTTCTCTGCCTACTCTCTGAAGGCATTTGTTTGTCCCTTGGTTATGATTTTATTTTAGGAAATAATTTAAAGTCGGAAGTAGATTTGTTATCAAGATGGGGGGGGGTTGTTCTGTGTTTTAATCCCTAATCCCTAGTAACATAAGAGAAAATTTAACCAACCCATTTAAACTCCCTCCTTCATTTCCATTATTTTCCCACATTCACTTACATGCCATGCCTACTTTTAGAGGATTTTTTTTTTCTGGTCAGATTGGCCTTGGTTATTAGGATAGAAAAGAGAAAATATAAGCAGCCTGGGACTCAGTAATGAGGTGCCCACGTTGCCAGTGGAGCAGCAGCTGGGGTGGGATCTGGGTTCTCCTAAAGTGTGAAGATTGAGCTTGAGGGGGTTGGGGAGGGAAGAAGAAGGCAGTCATTTCCACCCTGCACCTTTCCCAGGTGTTTGATGCCCGTGACTGCACCACGGCCCATGGGATGTTCAACTACATCTGCAACCATGTCAAGTATGCCACCAACAAAGGGAACCTCAGGTGAGCTGACCAGCTGGGCATTGGGAGCGGGGGATCGAAAGTCCCCACAGTATTGAATCCTGGAGGCAGAGGTTGTGGTGAGCTAAGATCACATCATTGCACTCTAGCCTGGGCAACAAGAGTAAAACTCTGTCTCAGAAAAATAAGGAAAGGAAAGGAAAATAACTTTTTCATGATGTAGTTCAATGTTATCTCATGGCAGGCTTTGGCTCTGGAGTCAGCTCACCTGCCAGGGAAATGTTCCTCCTCTCAGGGAGAAGGGCCAAGCTGGGAGAGGTGTCCCGGCATCTTTTTTTTTTTTTTTTTCAGGATTTTGTGTGTTTTATAAGAGCAAAGTTTTAACAAAAGGTGGCTTTTATTTACAGAATTTAATATGTGTGGGGACTGTCCAACCCACGTGGACCCAAGTGAAGATCACCATTAAGCCTGCTAATGTATTTTCTTATTTTCGGTTTACATACAAATTTTTTGTGTTTGCTTCACATTCATAAAAATCCCAATATTGCAAATGACAAATAAACCCTCCCATCCCTTAATTAAATATACAAACAGCTTGAAAAACATACCATTTAAATCAGTTTCAACTTGAAGTGTCATCCAGGGAGACTGAAAACTGAACATTTCAAGTCTTGAACCAAATAGTAAAATACTCGAAGGCCTTCAGATCCTTTGCCTGATTTACATCAACAACAGAACCTATTTTTGGTGTGGTAAAACATATGTGTTCATCTCCAATAACAATTCAAGCTCCTGTCGGCCAACCCTGTCTGGGGGAGGCCACAAAGCATCACCTTTGGAGTTTCACTGTCAATAATTCCCTTCGGTTCTTCCATTACACTCTCGTGTACATAAGCCTCTTTTTTGATCATGACATCATTTTTGCAATCGTTGTTTCTGGCATATCTAAACTTTGTGTCTGGCTGAAATTTGAACTCCAGAAACTCATGCCCAAGCCTGCCCTTGTGCCCTATGTAATAGCGCAGGGAGAAATCACTAGCCATAGTCAGTTTTGTCCCCAGGAAGGCAGAAAACCAGCCAACGTGATGCCCAGCATTTTTTTTCTCTCTCTCTCTTTTTTTTTTTTGAGACAGAGTCTTGCTTTGTCACCCCTGGCTGGAGTACAGTGGCACGATCTCAGCTCACTGCAGTCTCTGCCTCCCGGGTTCAGGAGAATCTCCTGCCTCAGCCTACCCAGTAGCTGGGACTACAGGTGCCCGTCACTACACCTGGCTAATTTTTGTATTTTTAGTAGGGACAGGCTTTCATGATGTTGAACATGCTGGTCTCAAACTCCTGGCCTCAAGTGATCTGCCCACATCAGCCTCCAAGAATTCTGGGATTACAGGCATGAGCCATCACACCCAGCCCTGACATCTTTATTCCATACTCCATCCCATGTTTCTTCTCTTCTGGGGCAAGTGGACTCCTGTGTAGTTTGCAAAACTACAGCAGCAAACATCACATTCAGCCCACAGTTCAGCATCCTTCGTGGAGAGGACAGGAAGGAACAGTTGAGATTCCTGGAATAGGAGAGTCCTGTTGCTGGTGGTGACCTGCCTTTACTGTGTCTTGCTCTGTCACCTGGAGCTGCCTCCAATTCTCCTTTGGTTTAAAAGGCAATTTCTCTTGCTGATGCTGTGGGGACTGCTCCTTGACTGTTCTAACCAGCCAAGCCACAACTTGGATTCCTCTTGAACCAATACAAAGAACAAAGCCCCAGGGAGCAGGCTGGCTGAGGCAGGCAGGTATCCATGTGGCTGGTGATGGCCACGTTGGCAAGTCTCAGCTGGGAGAGGGACAGCTGGAACGGAACAGCTGGGGCCCCACAGACAGCCAGCTACACTTGTTGGCTCTGCTCCCTCACTGCTGCTGTGGCATCTGTTCCCAGCCGCTAAGCACCAGTCCCATCTTGGGGCCACACAGGATCACTGCAGGGATATTCCCATAAGCCCTCGGGCTTCACTGAGTTCATCCAAAAGTGGCTTCTCTGCATGAAAGATGATTTTTCTTCAATGTGTCTTTTCTGTAAGAAGGAAATGGTATTTGCTAGTTTTCTGAGTTCCCTAGTAAGAAAAGGAGTCTAAACCTGGGCCTGCGTGAGGAATTGATATGTAGGTCTTTTCAAAGACAAGTCTTTTCCAAGAGACCTCATCCCTTAAAGAATATCAAAGAATCCTCCTGTGTGTCTGGACCTGGTCAAGGTTAGGCCTTCAAGGAGTTTATGGGCTCTTCTGGCGGATTTCTCTCTCTCTCTTTTTATGTTATTTATTTATTTATTTTTGAGACAGGGTCTTGCTCTGCCGCCCAGGCTGGAATACTGTGGCTCGATCTTGGCTCACTGCAACCTCTGCCTCCCAGGTTCAAACAATTTTCCTGCCTCAGCCTCCCAAGTAGCTGGGATTATAGGTATGCACTACCACACCCAGCTAATTTTTGTATTTTTAGTAGAGACAGGGCTTCACCATGTTGGCCAGGCTGGTCTCAAACTCCTGACCTCAGGTGATCTACCTGCCTTGGCCTCCAAAGTTCATGATGGTGTGAGCCATCATGCCAGGTCTCTTCTGGTGATTTTCAAATGGGGCTCTGAGCAGGCATTAAGGGGGTCACCCCAGGCCCAGCAGTGTACCTCCACTTTATTCACTGCTGTATTAGGGAGTCTTTGTGAGATCATCTATTAAAGAAAATATTCAGCGGATTCTTTTCCTTTTTATAATTTTTAACCCTCATGTTTGAAAACCGTGAGAACCATATAAGAATGTATACCGTGCAGATGGGTGCTGTGGCTCACTCCCAGAATCCCAGCACTTTGGAAGGCCAAGGTGAACAGATCACTTGAGCTCAAGAGCTAGAGACAAACCTGGGCAATATGGTGAAACCCCATCTCTATGGAAAATGCAAAAAATTAGTCAGCCGGGTGCAGTGGCTCACTCCTGTAATCCCAGCACTGGGAGGCTGAGGCAGGCGGATCACGAGGTCACATGTTCAAGACTAGCCTGGCCAACATGGTGAAGCCCCGTCTCTACTAAAAATACAAAAAAAATTAGCTGGGCATGGTGGCACGTGCCTGTAATCGCAGCTACTCAGGAGGCTGAGGCAGGAGAATCACTTGAACCTGGGAGACGGAGGTTGCAGTGAGAGCCGAGCTTGCACCACTGTGCTCCAGCCTGGGCAACAGAGCAAGACTCCATCTCAAAAAAAAAAAAATTAGTGGAATGTGCTGGAGTGTGCCTGTCTGTAGTCCCAGCTACTTGGGAGGCTGAGTTGGGAGTATTGCTTGGATCCAGGAGGTGGAGGTTGCAGTGAGAGCTGAGCTTGCACCACTGCACTCCAGCCTGGGTGACAGAGTGCGATTGTCTCAAAAAAAAAAAGTAAGAGGAGAAGGACAGCAAGAGAGAAGAGAGGGAGAGATACAGGTTCACACTGTGCTTGGGGAAGCAGGAGAGTAGAGGCATAGATGTGTGTTCTAGTTCCTTTGTTGATCTCAGTTCTACACATAGCGTAGGCATCATACCTGGCTTGCTATGTGTGCTTCTGGTGTTTCTAAACATACTTTTTAAATATACACCTTACACAAACACCTTTTATCTGATGTTCAACCAGAGAAACAGCGATGTGTTTTAGTGTTGCAGGGAAAACTGTTTGACTCACTCTGCATTCATCTCCAAGATGGTGCCTCTGTTAAGAGATCTTGAGCATCTTTGACTCTCTGTGATTTTGGCCTTCAGCCTGGATTCTAGACTCACCCTCAGCTGTGATGCATCACCCCCACAGAATTAAATGTTACATTGTTTTGTGTAAGAGAGTAAGACCTAAAAAGGATGCTCAGAAATAAGGCCCTATGAAGCTAGATGAGACAGGGGTTGCTGTGTGGACGGGGTGGATTTGAGTCAGGTCTTGAATTGGACATAAAATGGAAGAGAGGAATTCCAGCCAAGAGGATCAGCAGGGACACGGTTCTGGACAGAAATATATATGCAAGAAGATCTGTAAGCAATGAGTTGGACCTGAGATGTGATCTTTGTGTTGACATAAGAAGCCGGGACCGTGTTTCCATAGCCTGGAATGAGGGACCAGCCAGTCCAGTGGGCAAGAACTCCTGCCATGAGATAACACTGAACTACATTGTGAAAAAGTTATTTTCCTTTCCTTTCTCATTTTTGAGACAGAGTCTTACTCTTGTTGCCCAGGCTGGAGTGCAATGACACGATCTCGGCTCACCGAAACCTCTCCCTCCCGGGTTCAAGTGATTTTCCTGCCTCAGCCTCCGAAGTAGCTGGGATTATAGGTGTCTGCCACACCCAGATAATTTTGTATTTTTAGTAGAGATGGGTTTCTCCATGTTGGTCAGGCTGGTCTTGAACTCCCGACATCAGGTGATCCACCTGCCTCGGCCTCCCAGAGTGCTGGGATTACAGACATGAGCCACCACGCCCGGCCCTTTCCTTTTATTTTTTTTCCAATCCTGATGATGATGCCGAGGAGAAAGGCCCTGTTGGGTGCTAAGACATTGTTAACACCTAACCCTTGCTGATCTCCCTTTTAACAGAGAGATCAGAGCTCCAGATAGGACCCTCAGCAAACAACATCTTTCCACAGTTAATAAAAGAATACAGCCTTCACTCTTTCCATTTAGGCAGGCGAGGCCAATGGCTGATGACCTGCGGTTTTCTTTTAAATAAATGTAAATACAAATGCAAGCTGATTGCTTTTTAATCTTAAGTCTATAAATGTTGGTTTGGTAAGGGGGGTGGGCAAAGTAGATGAGAATTAATAATGGCTGGGAGAAGGCTGGAATTGGGACTCTAATACATTCTTTTTTTTGAGATGGCGTCTCACTCGGTCACCAGGCTGGAGTGCAGTGCCACAGTCGTGGCTCATTGCAAGCTCCACCTCCCAGGTTCAAGCGATTCCCCTGCCTCAGCCTCCTGAGTAGCTGGGACTACAGGCGTGTACCACCATGCCCAGCTAATTTTTGTATTTTTACTAGAGATGGGGTTTCACCATGTTGGCCAGAATGGTTTCGATCTCTTGACCTTGTGTTCCACCCACCTCGGCCTTCCAAAGTGCTGGGATTACAAGTGTGAGCCACTTCACCCAGCCCATAGTACATTCTTACAGGGAAGCAAGGTCTGATGTATCCTTGGAAATTCCTGGCTGCAAAATAACTCTTTGGACGAGTAGCTCAGGTCAATATTATTTAAAAGTCTCCAGCTAGAGAGGGAGTCTTTCCTTCAACAAGGTGGCATGGGGCTTGTCACTCTCCACCCTTTTCCTCAGACCACAGTTCCAGTGGAGGAACAGAGCGTGGCCTCTCCCTTCCAACCACTGCTTCACTGGTCCTGGGGACCTTGGCATGGAGGTGATCCACCCTGGGCCTCAAGCAGCTGTTGGCCTGGGTGGCACCCTGTTTAGTATGTTCCCACAGCACAAATCCCACCCTGATGCCAGGTGTTCCCCTCTCTCCACCACAGGTCGGCCATCACCATATTCCCCCAGAGGACAGATGGCAAGCATGACTTCCGAGTCTGGAACTCCCAGCTCATCCGCTACGCTGGCTACAAGCAGCCTGATGGCTCCACCCTGGGGGACCCAGCCAACGTGCAGTTCACAGAGGTGCGAGCATTTCTGCCCCCTGCCTTGCCCCATCTTGGACTCTTATGTCCCCAGACTTTTTTGGGTTTAATACTTTCACCATAGGGAGAGCTGCCAATGGGGTAGTTTACTCTTCTCCAAACCTACTTCTCCTGTTCCCCATTCTAGTTCTTTTACAGCTGGTCATCTGGTCACTTTCATGCCATTAACTCACTCAGCCCTCCTGACAGGAACTGTTGTCCCATGTCACAGATGGGTAGACTGAGTCTCACCAAGGCCAAATGAGTCATTCAAGACTGCTAAATAAGTAAAGAAAAGCTAGAACTACAGTCTAAATCTCTTGCCTCTCACCAGGAAGGTAAGAGCCAAGAAATGGAAGACATATCTGGTATCCACTTTTTCTGAGTTAGGAAATACATCAGTTTCATATCATTCATTCATTCATTTGTTGATACAACAATGTGAGCCACCCAACCCTTTAAGTAGGCTTGACTTTGCCTGTCACCAGCATCACCACAGTTACTGGTATCCCAAGGCAATTCATAAAAGCCACCAGGAAAGTGACTACCACCATCTCCCTGCCCTGAGTTCCTTCCAGGTGGTAGTGTGGGCAGGTAGTACAGGTAAAGCATGGTAGCTTATATGGACCACACCCACATGTGACAGCAAAGGCACATCTTGTGTTTAGAATGATCTCAGGCACACAGGCCTGCTGCCACCTTTTTTAAAATCACCTAACTCGTGTCCTGCTGCATTTCACGGTTGTCCTTTGCTCAAGCCCATCCCCGGTGGTACCTCCTCGAAGATGCAGTTGGCAAGGCTAAGGGCTGCTCCACTCCCTCCTGGCTGCTGGCTTCATTTGCATGTGGCTTTTCTTATGAAAATGTTATTCTTATGAGGAGGGGGCTGTAACCAGGGCAACCAGGAGCTGCACCTGTGCCGTTTTAGAGACAGCCAGACTCAGACTCTGTGCTCCACTTGGCTGAGCTCTAACTGTGTACTTGGCTGACCTTGTCCTCGTGGTCACAAGAACATAAACGCCCCAACCTCTTCCTTTGGCTCTATCTCTAGAAACCTTGCTGAGTGGGACGTGTTCTCCTGTGCCATGATTTAGTGCTTCCTCTTTTTACTAAGCACAAAGAATCATTCCAAACCTAACCATGTAATTTTACCTTCTGAAACCCTCTAACCCTACCGTGTGTAATAGGGACACATGTGGCTGTTGATCACTTGAAATGTGACTGGTCCCAGTTGAGATGTGCCTTAAAAGAAAATATACACTGGATCTCGAAGACTGGGTCCAAAAAAGAGAGGAAAAGAACTCATCGATCATTTTTAGTGTTGAAACAGTAATAATGTGGCTACATTAGGGTAATATATTTATTAACAAATTAAATGATTCACTGGATTAATAAGCATATTTTTAATTTTAATATTAAATATATTGTTTCAATACACTCATTAATAAATTTAAGTTGATAAAATGTATTATTTGACATATTATTGGATTAATGTGTTATCTATTTCATTTTAATGTCAAATATATAATTTGAATATATTGATAGTAATATGTTAAGATACTACTAATAAATTAATAATATCAAGGACATTGTTGAACTTTATTTAAAATTATATACTATTCTGCTAGGGTAAAAAAGTATGGAAACAAAAAAAATTTTAAAAGACAAAATAAAAATAAAAATAAATAAAATTATATACTATTAAAACCATTTTCTCCCATGATTTGAAGAAGACTAGCAAAAAAAAAGAGATAAAATCAAAATGATTTTCACCTGTTGTTTTTTTCTAATGTGGCTTCTGGAAAATTTTAATTACTTAGCTGGCTTGCATTATATTTTTATTGGACGGTCGCTCTAACAAACGCATTATATACAATAACTCTAATACATCTGCCTTCATCAGATTCAGCAGGTTTTCTTTGTCTCTTACAATACCTATTATTAATGCAAACACGGAGCTGGCAGCCTGCAGCCCTTGTTAGTCAGATTCAGCCCTTGCCCTCTGGGAATTCCAGTGGGCAAGGAAGACCCGGAAAACAAAGCTCAGTGCTAGAGGAAGGGTTTGCCCTCTGTCCTGTAGGCCCATGAGAAGTCATGCTAGTTATTAGGTCAGTGCAAAAGGAATTGTGGGTTTTTGCTATTGAAAGTAATGGCAAAAACCGTAATTACTTTTGCACCAAGCTAATACATGGTGGTATCAGAGAGAACTTTATAAAGGAGGTGACGTGGCCAAGAGCCTCCAGAGAAAGTGTCTCCTGGGGGTTTGCATTTGGACCTCTATCCACCCCACTCCCGCCTCCCACATAAGGGTTGTGTTTGTAGGGTCTGGGGTACAGTGGCGTTACCTGGCCGGGTCTGCTTGCAGATTTGCATACAGCAGGGCTGGAAACCCCCGAGAGGCCGCTTCGATGTCCTTCCACTCCTGCTTCAGGCCAACGGCAATGACCCCGAGCTCTTCCAGATTCCTCCAGAGCTGGTGTTGGAAGTTCCCATCAGGCACCCCAAGTAAGAGGGATGGGTAAGGGGTGAGAGATGGTGAGTGGGTTTGCCCAGTGCCCCTGTGTGCCCAGCCCCATTCCCCCAGGTTTCTTTCTAGCCCAGACAGAAGCTAAAAGGGGAAAGGGGGGGCTTGGTTTTTGCCCTCACTGTGGGCTTGGGCAGAATGGGTTCCCTCAAGACGCAGAAAGTCCTCTTTGCCCAGCCTGGGGACCACTACCTTTTCTGAATCACCTCACTCCTGGGCCATCAACAAGAACATGCCTTTTTTCCAGCCCTAAGTGTTGAAAGAGCAGAAGCACCATACTGTCTGTTGTGAGCACACTTTTTCTTTTTCTTTTCTTTTCTTTTCTTTTTTCTTTTTTTTTTTTTTTTTTTGAGACAGGGTCTGCTGCTTTTGCCCAGGCTGGAATGCAGTGGCACAAACATGACTCATTGCATGACTCGACTTGCTGGGCTCAAGTGATCCTCCCACCTCAGCCCCTCCAAGTTGCTGTGATTACAGCCACACACCACCATGCTTGGCTAATTTTGTAGAGATGGTGTTTTGCCATGTTATCCAGGCTGGTCTTGAACTCCTGGGCTCAAGTAATCCTCCCACGCCAGCCTCCCAAAGTGCTGGCTTTACAGGCATGAGCCACTTCACCTGGCCCACATTTTCAATTGAGAGAACTGTTTAAAACTTTATAGTATCTGGTGATTGAGTCCTATAGAGTTTTAAACAGTTCTCTCAATTGGAATACAAATCAAAACTACAATAAAATAGCATCTCACCTCAGTTACAATGGCTTATCCAAAAGACAGGCAATAACAAATTCTGAAGAAGATATGGAGAAACAAGAACCCTAGCACACCGTTGGTGGGAATGTAAATTAGTATACCCACTATTGAGAACAGTTTGGAGTTCCTCAAAAAACTAAAAAGGGAGAAAGGAAATCAGTGTATCTAAGAGATAGCTGCACCTCTGTGTTTGTTGTAACACTGTTTACAATGGTTGCAACACTAAGGAAGCAACTTAAGTGTCCATCAACAGATGTCTAGATAAAGAAAATGTGGGGCAGTACACAATGAAGTACTATTCAGCCATAAAAAAGGATTCGATGCAGTCATTTGCAACAACATGGATGGAACTGGAGATCATTACGTTAAGTGAAATAAGGCAGGCAGAGGAAGCAAACATCACATGTTCTTACTTATTTGTGGGATCTAAAAATCAAAACAATAGAACTCATGGATGTAAAAGGTAGGAGGATGGTTACCAGAGGTTGGGAAGGGGTAGTGGAGGGGGTGAGGGGAAGATGGGGACCGTTGTACAAAAAAATAGAGACTGGGCATGGTGGCTCACACCTGTAGTTCCAGCACTTTGGGAGGCCGAGGCAGGAGGATCACCTGAGGTCAGGAGTGTGAGATCAACATGTCAAAAACCCCATCTCTATTGAAAATACAAAAATTCCTTGGGCATGGTGGCATGTGCCTATAATCCCAGCTACTTGGGAGGCTGGGGCAGGAGAATTGCTTGAACCTGGGAGGCGGATGTTGCAGTTGAGTCCAGATTGTGCCACTGGCCTCCAGCCTGGGCTACAGACTCTGTCTCAAAAAAAAAAAAAAAAAAAAAAAAGAAAGAATGAATACAACCTATTATTTGAAAGCACACCAGAGTGACTATAGTTAATAACAACATAATTGTCCATTTTTTAAAAAGAGTGTAATTGGATTATTTGTAACTCAAAGGATAACTGCTTGAGGGGATGGATACCCCATTCTCCATGATGTTCTTATTTTCCAAGATGTACTTATTTCACATTACATGCCTGTATCAAAACATATCTACCCCATAAACATGCCTACTATGTATTCATAAAAATTGAAAATAATGACTAAAAAACTCTACAGGACCTGGTGAGGATCCAGTTCAAAGGGATTTGGAGTCACGAAGTTGCTGCAAGATCTCAGGCCAGCAACACAAACAGCATTTGCCCTTTAAGGGTGAAAGACATCTACTCTGAGTCAGCAGACTCAAACCTAGGATTGAATAAAATCAAGGGGGGTTGATAACACACACAGTAATAATCAAGATAGATATAAGAATGCAATCTTTTTAAAATTAAAATTAATGTTTTATTTGTCTAATTGATGTATGATAATTGTATATATTCTTGAGGTATATAATGATGTCTTAATACATGTAATGTATAGCGATCAGGTCAGTGTAATTAACACACTCATTGTCTCAAACACTTGTCTTTTCTATTGGAAACATTCAATGTCCTTTCTTCTAGCTGTTTGAAAATGTATATTAATGTTAACTATAGTTGTCCTACAGTGGTGTAGAACACTAGAACTTATTCCTGTCTAGCTGTAATTTTGTATCCTTTAACAAACTGCTTCCCATTCCCCCTTCTCCCCACCACCCAGCCTCCAGCATCCTCTGTTCTGCTTTTTACTTCTATGAGATCAACATTTTTTTAGCTTCCACCTATGAGTGAGAATATTCAGTGTTTCACTGAAATATTAAACACTGAGTATTCAGTGTTTCTGGTTCATTGCACTTAACATAATGTCCTCCAGTTCTATCCAAGTTGCTGTGAGTACCATGGTTTCATTCTTTTTTGTAGCTGAATGGTATTCCAGAGTAGATATAGATATAATTAATTTGGGGTTCATGACTCCAAATTTCTTTTGAACTTGATCCACACCAGACCTAGTACAGTTTTTTTTAATTATTACTTTTAATTTTGGTGGGTACATAGTAGGTGTATATATTTATGGGGTACATGAGATGTTTTGATACAGACATGCAATGTGAAATAAGCACATCATGGAGAATAGGGTACCCATCCTCTCAAACATTTATCCTTTGAGTTACAATCAAATTATACTCTTTAAGTTACTTTAAAACATACAATTACATTATAGACTATAGTCAATATATACAGTATATATATAGGTGTGTGTGTGTATAAATCACACATTTTCTTTATCCATTCATCTGTTGTTAGACACCTAGGTTGGTTCCATATCTTGGCTACTGTGAATAGCGCTGCAATAAACACAGGGGTGTAGATACCACTTTAACATACTGATTTCCTTTCCTTTTTTATTTTGAGACAGTCTCATTGCGTTGCTTAGGCTGGAGTGCAGTAGCACCATCTGGACTCACTGCAACCTCTGCCTCCTGGGTTCAAGCCATTCTCCTGTGTCAGCCTCCCAAGTAGCTGGGACTACAGATGCACACCACCATGCCCAGCTGATTTTTTTTGTATTTTTAGTAGAGACAGGGTTTCACCATGTTGGTCAGGCAGTCTCAAATCCCTGACTGCAAATGACCTGCCTGCCTCGGCCTCCCAACGTGCTGGGATTACAGGCGTGAGCCATTGCGCCTGGCCTGATATTCTTTCCTTTGGATAAGCGCCCACTGGTGGGATTGCCGGATCTCGTGATAGTTCTATTTGTGGTTTTTTTGAGGAACTGCCATACAGTTCTGCGTACTCCTGTACTAGCCTACATTCCCTCCAACCGTGGGCAGAAGAGTTCCCTTTTCTCTGCAACCTCACCAGCATTTATTATTTTTCTTCTTTTTATAATTGGCATCCTAACTGGGATGTGTCGTTATCTCATTGTGGGTTTCATTTGCATATCCCTGATGATGAGTGATGTGGAGCATTTTTTCCTGTATGTGTTGGTTATCTGCCTTCTTTAGAGAAATGTCTGTTCAGAGCAAGTGCCCATTTTTTAATCCAATTGTTTGGGGGTTTTGCTTCTGAAATGTTTGAGTTCCTTGTATATTCTAGATATTAACCCCTTGGTGGATGAATAGTTTTCAAGTATTTTCTCCCATTCTTTAGGTTGTCTTTTGACTCTGTTGCTCATTTCTTTGCTGTGCAGAAATTTTTTCATTTAACATAATCCTGTGTGTTTCTTTTTGCTTGTGTTGCCTGTGTTTTTGAGGTCTTATTCATAAAATCTTCTCCCAGACCAATATCCTGAAGCATTTTCCTGATGTTTTCTTCTGGGAGTTTTATCGTTTCTGGTCTCAAAGTTAATATTTCTAAAAAACAACACATGATGAACAGTATATCAACATTTTCAATAAAGAAAGGATCCTGCTCAGGACTGAGATTAGAGTGGGATGGAGGTCTCATACAAGTGTAGGGTGGAATTTTACATTATTGTTCATATATATACATAACTTTTTATTGTTTTTTCTTTTTTTACTTTTTTTATTTTGATTTTTTTAAATGTTGCATTACTTTCAAATATTGCATAAATAAATAATAGCATAAATCTTAATTCTTGGGTTTTTATTAGGTTAATGCAAAAGTAACTGTGGTTTTTGCCATTACTTGTAATGGCAAAAGTAAACTTAAGAGGGGGAAACCATTAGGTAGGTGCAAAAGTAATTGCAAAAACCACAACTACTTTTGCACAGACCTAATAGCTCCCCCCAATTAAATTTTACACCCAAGGATAGTGCCACACCTGCCTCACCCTAGTCCCAGCCTTGGAGAGGAAGCAGGTGTCCCAAGGCTCCTGACACTGCCTGATATCTTGGAACTCACCCAGTTCCTTGTAGCCTACATTTATTCATTCATGTATTGGCCCATCCAACGCAATTCACTGTTCCCCATGCAGGCCAGGCATTGTGCTAGCTTTGGGGCCTGACTCAACCCCTGCCTTCATGGTGCTTATGATCTCAAGGAAGAGAAGCGCTTACACGCGTAGTTACTCAAATACCACTTAATTTTAATAAAGTGCTGCAAAAGAAATGCATAGTACCTAGGATGAAATCATCTGACCCAGCTGGGCCTCGGGGAAGGCTTTTCAGAATAAGCCTCATTTTAGCTGAAAATTAAAGTATGAGTAAGAGCTAGAAGCACAGAAGGAAGGGAGAAGATTCCAGAAGGAAGGCGCTGCCTGTGCAAAGGCCCTGAGGTAGGAAGGTGCTCAGTTGGGGAATGGGGAGAGAGGTCTCACACTTTCTCTTGGGCTCACTTTCCGGGTGGGTTTGGGAGAGAAACGGCAGCCCAAGGCAGTAGCTTCCAGGCCTGGATATCCATCCAAAGCCCCTGAGAAATATGTTAAAAATGTACATTCTCAGGCCCCAGCTGCAGAACCTGTGATTCCACCAATCTGAAGCAGGGCCCAGGAGTCATATACTGACCTTGTCAGTCCGAATCAGTCCCTGGCATTTCAGCATCTCTAGATTCAAACTGTCTTTCCGGTGAGACGCCTGCTCCAGGTGAGCTGGGCCCTATTGCTCTCTGCAGGTTTGAGTGGTTCAAGGACCTGGGGCTGAAGTGGTACGGCCTCCCCGCCGTGTCCAACATGCTCCTGGAGATTGGCGGCCTGGAGTTTAGCGCCTGTCCCTTCAGTGGCTGGTACATGGGCACGGAGATTGGTGTCCGCGACTACTGTGACAACTCCCGCTACAATATCCTGGAGGTAAGGACCCTCTCTGGTCACCACAAGGGAAAAGCACACCACAGTGGCTGCAGTCTCAGCAGTCCCCTTCCCCATAGCTTGGAAACCTGAAGGGGTTAGAATAGAATTGTAATCCCAGAGAAGCCCCTGGAAACACTGGGGACATCTGTGTCTTTAAGAACAATGAAAATAACAGCTTAGCTGGGCGTGATGGCGGGCTACTTGGAAGCTGAGGCAGGAGAATTGCCTCAACCTGGGAGGTGGAGGTTGCGGTGAGCTGAGATCGCACCACTGCACTCCAGCCTGGGTGGCAGAGCAAGACTCCGAGAGAGAGAGAGAGAGAAAGAGAGAGAGAGAGAGGAGGGAGGGTGGGAAGGAGGAAGAGAGAGAGAAGGAAAGAAAGAATGACAGAAAAGGGGGGGAGGGAGGGAAAGAGACAGAAAAAAGGAAAGGAAAGGAGAAAGAAAATAACAGCAAACACACATAGCACATAGCACATGCTAACACCATTCAAAGCACTGTTTCCGTGTTCCATTCTCATTTAATCCTCACCTGAAGCTTGAGGTATGAGAATCCTCCTTCGACAGATGACAAGCTCAAGGTCACACAGCTAGCGGGCAGCAGGGCTGGGACGTGTCTGGTTTGACTTTATGGTCCAAGTTCATTACCACTCCGCTCCACTGCCTCTCGGTCTTAAATCTTGTTAGAAGAGCTTGAGGATGACCAACAAACTCGGGACATATTTAGTGTCTTTTCTAAAAAACAAGGGAGGAGGGTTGGCAGTGGTTCCCCACTCTAAGCATTTCTCAGCGGAGGGTCTGATTCTCTCCCGGGCTGAGTCATCCGTATCTACTAAAAAGTGCTGGAGCGGTGCTTCCTGAAGCCCAGCTTTGGTGAAAGCATCATGATTGCTGTGTTTTTGTCAGCAAATGTCTCTAACAACACTCTGCTGCTGTTGGATTTGTTTCAAAAGAGGGCACTGAGAAACAGAGAAGTTAAGTGCTGGGCCTGTGTCACACAGGAGGTAAGGCATGGAACCAAGATTAGAACCCAGAACTGAGCATTAGATTCGTGTTGTCAAGCCACTCGTGTCAGTGTGGAAAATAGATGCCAGGGATCCTCAGCTTCACCACACATTGGAGTGTACTTAGGGGATTTGTGATGCCCACGTCCCACTCATCAGGGTTCTGATGTCATAGGTCTGGGGTGGGCTCTGGGCATCTGCATTTTGCAAAGTTCCTTCTGAACAACCACTGACGCATGCAAATTTCTTTATTCTTTCTTTCTTTTTTTCTTTTTTTGGTTGGGGGGATGGAGTCTCACTCTGTCACCCAGGTTTGAATGCAGTGGTGCAATCTTGGCTCACTGCAACCTCCACCTCCAAGGTTTAAGCAATTCTCCTGCCTCAGCCTCCCAAGTAGCTGGGACTACAGGTACACGCACCACACCTGTCTATTTCTTTTATTATTGTTTTTAGTAGAGACAGGGTTTCACCATGTTGGCCAGGCTGATCTCGAACTCCTGACCTCAGCTGATCCACCCACCTTGGCCTCCCAAAGTGCAGGGATTACACGCCCAGCCTAAACGACAACTCATACATGCAAACTTCTGTCAGGAAGGAAAAAATGTTGCAGGCAGTTTTCGTAGAGGTTGCTCAAGTTACATTTGGGGATTATTTTTTAAGGAGTTTTTTCCTGCAATTAATTTCTATTCTTTTAACCAAAATAATGTTGTAGAATTAACAGTAGCAGCACGACTGGCTATACACACGTTCCTCTGTCATGCACTGACTCCAGTTGTGTATGTATTCATGGAAAGCAGCATCAAATTTCTTACTTCCCACAAATGTGTCGCTGATAGCAAACCCAACCAGAACCTAATGCCTCAGCCTCAAAGAGTGAGTTAATAAGTCTGCTCTCTGATCTCTGCTTACATTTCAGTTGCAAAAAATAGTCTCCGGGTAACTAAAATGAGCCTCTCTCCCACCCGACCCTCCAATTCCACCTGCCATTATATATAAACATTGACAGCTGGGTCTGGGAGCAGTTTACCCAAACCCAAGAAATTGCTTCATTCTAGCCCCATAATGAGACCTGGGTTCCCTCCAGTGACTAGTATTGACAGCAGAAGTGCAAAGCAGGCTTTAATTAATGCACTTACTATTGGATCTTTGCTGCTCCTGACACCAGCTCCTGCTTCTGCCTTAGCTGTAACATGCATGTCATGAGTTCCTTTTTTTTGCAAGTAATTTTGCCAAAGGCTTCAGCTGCTTGGAGAGCAGCTCTGAGGTCTGGTACATTAGCCATCTCCCTGGGCTCCAACTCTGAGACTAGCTGCTTCTGTGGATGTTGAAAAAGTTGAGGCGCCTCTCTAAGCCTCAATTTTCTTATCTGTCAGATGGAGTCTGGCAGGGGCCTCATGAGCTCAAAACACAAATGGCCTAAATGCTAAGTTGTGACCTCTCTGCGAGTAGAGCAGGATGGATGAAGAGCTTTTCCTACTAGAAAGCAGGTGATACACTCACAGATCTAGATATCTGTTAAAATGCTCCAGAGGCCGGGCATAGTGGCTCACACCTGTAATCCCAGCACTTTGGGAGGCTGAGGCGGGCGGGTCACCTGAGGTCAGGAGTTCAAGACCATCCTGGCCAACGTGTTGAAACCTGTCTCTACTAAAAATACAAAAAAATAGCCAGCCATGGTGGCAGGCACCTGTAGTCCCAGCTACTCAGGAGGCTGAGGCAGGAGAATTGCTTGAACCCAGGAAGGGGAGGTTGCAGTAGGCCGAGACTGCACCACTGCACTCCAGCCTGGACAATAGAGTGAGACTCCATTTAAAAAAAAGAAAAGAAATTCTTTCATGCTACTAGCACTGTCCCTCTTCTATCTGAAATCTAGAGATACCCCAGCCTGTAAATCTGTGTTTCCTTCCTCTTTCAGGAAGTGGCCAAAAAGATGAACCTGGACATGAGGAAGACATCCTCCCTGTGGAAGGACCAGGCCCTGGTGGAGATCAATATCGCAGTTCTCTACAGCTTCCAGGTAACACCAGTCTGCACCACCAGCGGCAAGCCTCAAATGGGAGCTCAAACCTTTCAGAGCCTTGGTGCAGAGGGTCAAGAGACCTCACTGCCAGACATCACCCTTGGGGGCATTGTGTCCATGAGCATGGTCTGTATTCCATCCTGCATGCCCTCCTCTCCAGTGTGGACCTTGGGTGTAGACCATCTGATGAAGAGATGAACAGATGTTGGCAGGGGGAGGGGCAGTGTTCTGTCTTGTTGCTTAGAGTTCCTTAGAATTCAAACAAGAGGCATTCTCTCTGTCTTGTCATCTCTTAGGGCCTCAGATTATCATATAACAGAGAGAAATACTCTTCAACATCATCAGAAACATGTAGACTCCTAAATGCATGAGGCTGTGCTAAATGGCATTATAGCAGGATGGCTGGAAAATCTATCAGCTAAGTCACATCGCTTTTTTTTTTTTTTGAGACAGACTTTCACTTTTGTCATCCAGACTGGAGAGCAGTGGCATGATCTTGGCTGACTGCAACCTCTGCCTCCCGGGTTCAAGCAATTCTCCTGCCTCAGCCTCCTGAGTAGCTGGGATTACAGGTGCCCACCACCATGCCCAGCTAATTTTTGTATTTTTAGTAGAGACGGGGTTTCAACATGTTGGCCAGGCTGGTCTTGAACTCCTGACCTCAGGTGATCCGGCCGCCTCAGACTCCCAAAGTGCTGGGATTACAGGCGTGAACCATGCCCGGCCACCACAACACTTTTGAGAGCCAGAGGGAGACACTAGTAGTAACTATGCCAGGACAATGGGCATCAAATAGGATTCTTCTGGGCCAACCAGGAGACCTGGAGAATAGAAGTTTCTGTCTATAATAGGGACCATCACTATCTTCTGGGGTCTTCCAGTCTGGGCAGTTAGACCCCTGTAGATGCTCGTAAGAGACACACGCGGCCAGCAGAATGAAGGCGTTAAATCTAGCTGTGAATGGATAGGAATAGAAGCCATAGGTCCCCATCTCAGATGTGGATGCAGTGGGTGCACTGAGGAATGTCAAAGGAAAGGGAAAAGTTCAGACAGAGCAAGAGGGAAAGTGGCCACCTCCCTTCTCTCCCATAGAGAATGAGGTTTCAGGAGCATGGCATATGGCCTGATGAACTGGTATGAAGTCTGTCAAGCCAGAGACAATAGGATGTGAGTGAGATGAATAATGAAAACTAGCTGGGTGCAGTGGCTCACGCCTGTAATCCCACCACTTTGGGAGGCTGAGGCGGGCGGATCACCTGAGGTCAGGAGTTCGAGACTAGCCTGGCCAACAGGGTGAAACCCTGTCTCTACTAAAAATACAAAATTAGCCAGGCATGGTGGTGCATGCCTGTAATCCCAGCTACTCAGGAGGATGAGGCAGGAGAATCACTTGAACTTGGGAGATGGAGGTCGCAGTGAGCTGAGATCAGGCCACTACACTCCAGCCTGGGTGACAAGAGCGAGACTCCATCTCAAAAAAAAAAAAAGATGAATAATGAAAACAGAAAAGTGCAGGAAGGGGGCAAGGTGGGCAGAGAGAGAAAACATCACTTGGACAAAGATATGAATTCAAACCCATCAACCACAGCAGGCCCCAGGGCCGGCTTTCCCTGACAGCTAGTCCACCCCCACCCATCTCAGCTGTGATGGACTTGTTGTATTTCTTAATTGACTCATCTTTATTACTTAAAAATGTGTATTTTAAGATTTCATATCACCACTCTAAATGGAGAGCCAGCACTGTTTGCCATAAATATAAGGTAATTGTAATACTAAATACATAAACAAGCAAACACCAGGAGAACAAAACAAAAGGGAGCAATTGTAGCTAGATACTTCCTCTTATTTACAAAAAATGGGGGAGGGGCAGTGGATGCAGTGGCTCACGCCTGTAATCCCAGCACTTTGAGAGGCCAAGGCAGGTGGATCACTTGAGGCCAGGAGTTTGAGACCAACCTGGGCAACATAGTGAGACCCTGCCTCTATAATAAATAACAAATAAAAAAAGAAGATATACAAATGATCAACAAACATGAAAAACATGCTCAACATCACTAATTATCAGGAAAATGCAAATCAAAACCACAATGTGATACCACCATACTCCTGTAAGAATGGTCATAAACAAAAAATAATAGATGTGGATGTGGATGCTGCGAAAAGGGAACACTTCTGCACTGCTGGTGGGAATGGAAACTAGTACAATGACTACAGAAGACAAAGCGGGGATTCCCTAAAGAACTATAAGGCCAGGCGCAATGGCTCACACCTGCAATCCCAGCACTTTGGGAGGCTGAGGCGGATGGATCGTTTGAGGTCAGGAGTTCGAGACCAGCCTGGCTAACATGGTGAAGCCTGTCTCTACTAAAAATACAAAAGTTAACCAGGCAGTAGTGCATTTGCCTGTAATCCCAGCTACTTGGGAGGCTGAGGCAGGAGAATCGCTTGAGCCTGGAAGGCAGAGGTTGCAGTGAGCTGAGATTGTGCCATTACGCTCCAGTCTGGGTGACAGAATGAGACCCTGTCTAAAAAAAAAAGCAAAAAACTAAAAGCAGAACTACTTTTGATCCAGCAATCCCACTACTGGGTATTTACCCAGAGGAAAAGAAGTCATTATACAAAAAAGATACTTGCACACACATTTATAGCAACACAATTCGCAGATTGCTAAAAATGTGGAACTAACCTAAATGCTCATCAGTCAACAAGTAAATAAACTGTGGTATGTGTGCGCATATATATGACTGAAAGAAAGGTGAGTGATATATATATATATGATGGAATTTATGTATATAAATTTATATATATATAATGCAATACTACTCAGCTGTAAATGGGAATGAATTCATGGCATTCACAGCAACCTGGATGAGACTGGAGATTATTATTCTAAGTGAAGTAACTCAGGAATGGAAAACTAAACATCGTATATTCTCACCCATAAGTGGGAGCTAAGCAATGAGGATGCAAAGGCATAAGAATGACGTGGTGGACTTTGGGGACTCAGGAGGAAAGCATGCAAAGGGTGAGGAATAAAAAGCTACAAATGGGGTTCAGTGTGTCCTGCTCAGGTGATGGGTATACCAAGGCCTCACAAATCACCACGCACGTAACCAAATAAATACCACCTGTTCCCCCCAAAACCTATAAAAATTAAAAAATTTAAAAAGAAAGAAAAATGTGGGGGTTGGGATGGGAGAGAGGAAGATTGGCGAGATCCACAAGGAAGGTGTTAAAGACGCCATAGCACCCGATGAAGACTTTCTCCTGAGTCTATGTAGAAGGACTGGACGAGAAACGCAGAGAGAATCACCGTTTCCCTTCACACTGCTCTACACCATCTCTGGGACCTACCTTTGGGAAATGCTGCTCTGTGGGGAAGGCAGTCCTCACAATACCCCAGCTTCTTGTGCCTCCTGACCCCGTCCCCTCTCCTCCCGCAGAGCGACAAAGTGACCATTGTTGACCATCACTCTGCCACTGAGTCCTTCATTAAGCACATGGAGAATGAGTACCGCTCCCGGGGAGGCTGCCCTGCCGACTGGGTGTGGATCGTGCCCCCCATGTCCGGAAGCATCACCCCTGTGTTCCACCAGGAGATGCTCAACTACCGGCTCACCCCCTCCTTCGAATACCAGGTCCTGCCCTGTCCCTGCCTCTTTTCATATTAAGTGTTCTGTGTCTGGTGGTTTGGTGTGTGTATCACATTTAGGCTCATTTCAACCCAGACTAGCAGTCTGGACACTCAATAGCCACGTGTGGCTGCTAGCTACCATATTGCACAGCACAGTTCTCGCTGAAAGAACAGGAGAGACTGTATGAGGCTGACATGATGGCTCATGCCTGTAATCCCAGTAATTTGGGAGGTTAAGACGGGAGGGTGACTTGAGGCCAGGAGTTTGAGATCAGCCTGAGCAACATAGTGAGACCCCCATCTCTAAAAAAAATTTTTTTTAATTAGCAGGTTGGGCATGGTTGGGCTGAGGGGGTAGAGCTAGTAGGACACTGCCAAGGCTGGACCACCCACTGGGAAAGGATCCCACCTGCATCCGTACCCCCAAGGCGGTCACCACTGGGCAGAATTCTTCCCTTCAGGGGCCAAAGGTCAGGCAGCCATAGCCCCAGGGGTCCTGAGCATCTCCAGCAGGAGCCAGATGCCCTCACTGCAGTGAGTGACCATAGCTCTCTCCTCTCTTCTCAGCCTGATCCCTGGAACACCCACGTCTGGAAAGGCACCAATGGGACTCCCACAAAGCGGCGAGCCATCGGCTTCAAGAAGCTGGCAGAGTAAGTTTCCTGCAGTGGGCAGGTCAGGTGGATGTGCCCACAAACTCAGAGAGCTTGGAGGAGAGAAGAGGGCTGGGCGGATGCCTGTGCCCTCTGACCTCTCTGTAAGAGAGGGCACACGCCATGCTAATTTTATATATTTTTTGTAGAGATGGGGCTTTGTCATGTTGGCCAGGCTGGTCTCGAACTCCTGACTCAGGTGATCCACTCTGCCTTGGCCTCCCAAAGTACTGGGATCACAGGTGTGAACCTTCTTCTCCAGCCGGTGTGCCTTCTTTATCTCTGAGTCTGAGCTGTGAATGTGGTTTCAACCCTTCTTCTCAGCCTTACTTTCCTCACCCCAGTTTCCTAAATTCTTGTCCTGGAGGCAGTGGTGTGTTGGCAAACCAGCCCTCCTAATAATAATAATAGTAATACCTTGATTTTTTTTTTTTTTTTTTGAGATGGAGTCTCTCTCTTGCCCAGGCCGGAGTGCAATGGTGCAATCTCAGCTCACTGCAACCTCCATCTCCCAGGTTGAAGTGACTCTCCTGCCTCAGCCTCCAGAGTAGCTGAGATTACAGGTGTGCACCACTATGCCTGGCTAATTTTTGTATTTTTAGTAGAGATGGGGTTTCACCATGTTGGCCAGGCTGGTCTCAAAGTCCTGACCTGGTGATCTACCCACCTTGGCCTCCCAAAGTACTGGGATTACAGGCGTGAGCCACCATGCCTGGCCACCTTGATTTTAATATTTGCCAGTTTCCATAATGTAAATATTCTCCCTATGATCAATTCCTTCTTTTTCTTTCTTTCTTTCTCTTTTTTCTTTTCTTTTCTCTCTCTCTTTCTCTTTTTTCTTTTCTTTTCTTTCATTCTTTGCTTCCTTCCTTCTTTTTTTCTTTCTTTCTCTTTCTTTTCTTTTCTTTCTTCTTGGGTCTCACTCTGTTGCCCAGGCTGGAGGGGTCTCACTTTGTTGCCCAGGCTAGTCTCAAACACCTGGCCTCAAGCAATCCTCCTTCCTCAGCCTCCCAAAGTGTTAGGATTACAGGTGTGAGCCACTGCACCTGGCCTAGGAAGTCACAGAACCCAGAGTAGAAAGGAGCTAGAGTTAGTCGGCTCCAGCACACTATTGCCTGGAGAGCACCCTCGTTCAGGACTGACCCCTAATTTTACTCATTCATTCATTTACTCATTCATTCATTAGCTAGGTGTTGTGGCACACACCTGTAGTCCTAACTATTCAGATTCTGTCAGGCACCGTGCAGAGCTCCAAGGGGATCATGGCAAGCTAGACAAACACTGTCCCTGCTGTCAGGAAGCTCACAGCCATTCCTTTGTCAAAGAATCAATAAATACAGTAAACATGGCCACTGCAAAAGGTACCATCGAGGAATGGTTCCTGGAAATAATAATGGCTCGAGGAGTTTGGGAGTTCAGGGAGGGCTTCCTACAGGAGGTGGCTATAGAAAAAAGAATGAAATGAATGAAGTTTAAGCAAGGAAGGGAGGGAAGAGGGCTATGGCCTGAGACTACTGAGGAGTGATTTTCCTGAAGAATTCCTGACTGCAGGGGACCAGCAGACAAGTAGGGTGGGTTAACTAATAAGTAGGATTTAATGGGGATGCCAGCCTTCTGCCCCAAAAAAAGAGAACCCCACTGATCCACTTAGCATAGACCACTGTTTGGAGCTTTTTTTCAGAAGACACTACTCTCTTTCCCCAGCTCCCTCGGGTCCAGAATTCTCTAGTTGTACAACAGGTGCCATCTAAGCCTTGGGCCCCAGAGGCAAGACACTGGTGGGTCTTCAAGGGACTCAACCCCATGTCCTGGCTCCATTAATAGAGCCCATGGAATCTCTCTCTGTCTCTCTCCCTTTCTTTCCCCTTCCACCGCAATCCCATCCCCCAGCCAACAAGAACACATCATCAGCCACCATTTCCCTAACGAGACTATCTCAGATATTCTCAGGGAGGGCAATCATTGGCTTCAGTTCAGCTACTGTCTCTGGGGAGGGAAGGGAGGGAGGAGAGGGAGAAATTTAAAACATTAATTGCACTATTAAGTTTTGGGTAGTAACAATGGGAATTAATTATAGATGCATCTTTGCGCTCAGATTATTCAAAGGGAACCCTCCAGGTACCTTGTATTTCTGTCTGTTTCTTCCCATTAGCTAAGTCTTCCTGCAGCATGGGCCGTTTTCCCTGATTCTAAAAAATAATGAACTTAACACCGCTAATCCCAGGTGGGGGGAAATTAGCAATTTGTCTGCACAGAGATTCCTACTTACAACAGGGAGACTCGTTCAGGAGTTAAGCCCGGGTATTCCTGAGCCTCAGACCTGTCTGCTACATGCCCCGGAACTCGCCCTGCCCAGTAGCGGGGAAGGAAGAGACACTGGTTTGGGCTTCTCTGTTTAGCTAGAAAGAGGCTGCATCTGATGTTCAGACTCCCCAGGGTATCTGTGGCAGCAGCTTTTAAAATTCATAAATTTTATTTACTTTTTTATAGAAACAAGGTCTCACTATGTTAATCAAGCTTGTTTCAAACCCTTGCCCTCAAGTGATCCTCCCGCCTCAGCCACCCAGAGTGCCAGGATCACAAGCATGAACCACTGTGCTCATCCCATAACTTCTTTTGATAGATATTTATTTAGTGCCTATTGAATATCAGGCTCTGTGCAAGACCCTAGACATGCTTTGCTAAATAAGCCAGACCTGGTCCTTCCCTTGTGGATCTATAAACCTCTAAAACCCCATCAAACTCAATGCCTAGTGGCTTATTAGTGATTCATTTCTCTCTCTCTGTCATTCACACATGTGCATACACATACACATACACATACACATACACATACACATACACATACACATACACATACACATACACATTAGAATATAAGCCCCAAGACCGGGCATGGTGGCTCCTGCCTGTAATCCCAGCACTTTGGAAGGCCAAGGCAGGTGGATCACCTAAGGTCAGAAGTCCGAGGCCAGCCTGCCCAAGATGGTGAAACCCCAGTCTCTGCTAAAAATGCAAAAAATTAGCCAGGCATGGTGGCATGCACCTGTAGTCCCAGGTACTCAGGAGGCTCAGGCAGGAGAATAGCTAGAACACAGGAGGTGGAGGCTGCAGTGAGCCTAGATTGCACCATTGCACCCCAACCTGGGTGACAAGAGCAAAACTCCATCTCAAAAAAGAAAAAAGAATATGAGCCCCATGTCAGCTGCATGCCATAGCTATGTTCTCTATGGTCTCCAGTTCCTGCGACAATACTAACACATAGTTAGGCATTTAACAAATATCTGATGAATGCAAGAGAAAGGAAATGGATGAATAATCATCTTTTGAGACAATCCTTGGCAAACCAAGGTTCTTAAGCCTGGGATCAATCAAGTACCAAGCTAACAAAACTATTCCTTTTAACTCATGACTAATTGCTCTGGTGGCATTTAATAGAGGATTTAATATCCAACATTATCTCTAGAGAAGTTAAAAAATAAAATAAAGGATTTACTAATACTTTAATAATATGGTGCTTGAACTCAAGGGCTTCAAGTGTCTCTGAGGAAACCCCTTCAGCCATCAAAGATCAAAAGAGTTCTCTTCTGTTATATTTCATGGATCCTGGTTCTTGCATGAAAGTCCCAATCCAGCATCTTCTCTCCCCTGTTCTGTTTCCCATTTTTCCTCTCCATCCTCTTCCCTCCAGAGCTGTCAAGTTCTCGGCCAAACTGATGGGGCAAGCTATGGCCAAGAGAGTCAAAGCGACCATCCTCTATGCCACAGAGACTGGCAAATCACAAGCTTATGCCAAGACCTTGTGTGAGATCTTCAAACATGCCTTTGATGCCAAGGTAGGTGGGGGCAGCAGTAGCTTCCCCAGCTTCTCATGGTAAATAAAGGCAGGAATGGGGAGAAAGACAAGTCAGCAGAGAAGAAGGCTTCAGCAAAGGATGAAAACACACCTGACGATGCCTATCAGCTCGCACACACATTTGCATACATGTCAGGGGACTGTGATATCCCTCTCCCCGTGAACCCTTCAGGAGTCCAGGAGTCACAAAATGAAGTTTCCCTCTTACGTGCAAAATGTTAGAGGGTGTGTAAGAAACCATTCTGAGGTCAGTTTGGGAAGCTTTGCCTGAAGTGCAGCTCAGTGGTTTTTATTGCTGTTGCGGGACTTCTCAGAGCCTGTAATCTGTAAGCATGTGTTATAATCTCCAAAAGAGGCGAGGATAGGATATAAATGTTTCCCAAATATATTTGACTGTGGATCACTTGTTTTCATGAAGCATCTCAGGAGACTGGGATTTTCTAGAACCTATTTCGAGAAGTGTTGCTCAGACAATGATGAGACACAGGGCAATCATCTTTCCAGAAGGCAGGTATCTCAGACTGGTTTAGCCAGGTGCTCCCACGCTGAGGGGAGGATTAGAGACGATGTTGAGAAGACTTGGTCAGCTTTAGCCAGGTCGTTCCCAGCCTGACTGGGGTCAGGAAGAATCCGGGACCGATTGTCTATAAGAATCCCAAGGGATTCCATCCAAATCTGTCTCTAGTGTCTGCCAACCTCTTGAACCATTACCCCCAGACTCTCCACAGTCCTTCAGGCCACAGTGATCATAGTAAGTTCCCACGCTACCAAAAAGCATTTCGTTCTTCCCACTTGGGCCCATTGAATTGTTAACACCCCAGATCTTTTGTTTCTCCTTCCAAAGGAGATGACTTGACTCCAAATGACACATTTTTCCTTTCTGTCCTCTTCTCCTTCCCCCATCACTTTTTGTCTCTCCCACCTCTTTTCTCTCCTCATCCCCTTCTTCCTCTCCCCATCCCATACCTGTGCCCCCATCCGCCTAGGTTATGTCCATGGAAGAATATGACATCGTGCACCTGGAACATGAAACTCTGGTCCTTGTGGTTACCAGCACCTTTGGCAACGGAGATCCCCCTGAGAATGGGGAGGTGAGATGAGCTTTTACCTGTTCAAGAGTGTGGTTCCATCATTGGGAAGAAGGGGGCTACAGTTGAGAGTCTTCCTATACCTCCTATTCAGTAGCAAACGCTCCGAGAGCCTCAAAGCCAGTAATTTCCATTTGGATCCAAGTTATCCCAAAGATTGGACAGTTCCAAGTCCTCAGTCTACTGGTGTCCACTAGTTAGCAAGTCCCTGGTGAAAATATTGTCACCTAAGTTAGCCGTTTGTTTGCAGTGGCTGCTCCCATCATGAGCTTGATGTCCTCTGCTGTAGATGAAGGATGTGGGGACAATATTTTTATAGAGAGAAGTCTCCAAAGGGAAGTTGTGTGCTGGGGGTAGGGAGTCCACACCTGTAGTCGTTTAAACAGCAGGGGTATCAGCTGCATCTGCAACCCCAGCATTACTGTCCAGCCTGAGCCCCTGACCTCTCTTGACATCCTGGCCTCCGGGCATCAGTCTCCTCTTTGACAGCCGGGACCCCAGATCCTCAGTGCCCAACCTGATTTCCCACTTACTAAGATGTGCTAATTTCACCCATCTGTTTTGGCCTCCAGAAATTCGGCTGTGCATTGATGGAAATGAGGCACCCCAACTCTGTGCAGGAAGAAAGGAAGTAAGTGAATGACCCCTCTGACATCACCCACCATCCCCTGAGGGTAACTGGACATTGACATTTGGCACCTGGTATTCACATTTGAGTTCTGGGTGGTGGTTGTAATCTGATGTCCATTTGTGATGGGTCTTAGTTATGAGGTATCTGCAGTCTACTGGGGCCAATATTTTGGTTTCTGAGTCACTTCACAGCCTTATACCTCAGTTTCCTTTTCTATTAAATAGAGATTATAGCACCTGCCTTGACTTTCTAATTAGTAAGAATCAAATCAGAAACTAGATGTAAGAGCACTGTGTAAATATTGTTCTTATTCTTTTTCCCTCTTTGGGAACCTACATTCAAAATCAGTGCAAGGCAGTCAGGCATGGTAGCACACGCCTGTAGTCTCAGCGGCTCTGGAGGCTGAGCTGGAAGAATCACCTGACCCCAAGAATTTGAGGCCAGCCTGAACAGCCAGACCCGTAAAAAAAAAAAGTTTCTAAAATCAAAGAATGGAACTTCTTTCCTTAGAAGCTTACTGTCTCATGCTCATGGTAAAGTCACAGCTAATGTAGAAATTGAATTCAAAAGATAAGATACCTCGTAAGACAAAACATACCTGTAGTCAAAAATATGTTTGCAATGGAACTGCATCTAATGTGGGATTGAGTTCTAAAGGTATTTGGTAAAGTAAAAAAGCATCTAATCAAACTTACCATTCATGGCTGGGCATGGTGGCTCACGCCTGTAATCTTAGTCCTGCGGGAGGCTGAGGTAGGAGGATTGCTTGAAGCCAGGAGTTCAAACCAGCTGGTGCAATATAGCAAGATCTCATCTCTGCAAAAAAAAAAATTTTTTAATTAGCTGGACATGGTGGTGTGCACCTGTAGTCTCAGCTACTCCAGAGGCTGAGGCAGGATCACTTGAGCTCAGGGAATTGAGGCTACAGTGAGCCATAACTGTACCACGGCACCCCAGCCTGGACAACAGAGCAAAACCCTGTCTCTAAAAACTATATATTTTTTTGAGATGGAGTTTCACTCTTATTACCAAAGCTGGAGTACAATGGCTTGATCTCGGCTCACTGCAACCTTTGCCTCTGCGGTTCAAGCAATTCTGCAACCTCAGCCTCCCAAGTAGCTGTGACTATAGGCATGTACCACCACACCTAGCTAATTTTTGTATTTTTAGTAGAGACAGGGTTTCACCATGTTGGCCAGGCTGGTCTTGAACTCCTGACCTCAAGTGATCCACCTGCCTCAGCCTCCCAAAGTGCTGTCACCGCACCTGGCCAAAAAAAAAATTTTAATTACCCTTGAAAAGTCCTTGCATCCCCCATAAGGTATAGAACATACAGTGTGTGCACACTGAGCTGCCTTTCGATGAGGCCAACTCGGTATTTGCTCCAGTGGGGAGCAGATCCCTGTGTCTGAAGGTGAACATCAAGTGCTGTGGCTGGCTGGTGTTTATTGACTGTGTTAAGCAGAAAATCCTTTCTGAGGCCAGGCAGGGTGGTTTATACCTGTAATTCCAGCACTTTGGGAGGCCAGGGCAGGAGGATCACCTGAGTCAGGAGTTCAAGACCTGCCTGACCAACATGGTGAAACCTAACTCTACTAAAAACATAAAAATTAGCTGGGCATGGTAGTGTACACCTGTAATCCCAGCTGCTTGGGAAGCTGAGGCAGGAGAATCACCTGAAGCCAAGAGGTGGAGGTTGTAGTGAGCTGAGATCGCGCCACTGCACTCCAGCCTGGTGACAGAGCGAGACTCCATCTCAAAAAAAAAAAAATAGAAAGAAAATCGCTTTTGATTTTCTTTGTTCGGCGAATGTGCTGCCAGACTCACATGTTTTGATACTCAGACTGTTGCTGAGCTCCTGTGGTCAGCCCTCGTTCTACACCCACCTCCAGCATCTTAGTCCTCACTCTCCCCACCACTCTCCTTCCCACCCCATCCTGGGAGGCCTCTTAGCAGGTTCCCTCTCACCCCTCCTTCAGGGAGAGATAGGGCACCATCGATTCTCCCCTCTAGGTACCCGGAACCCTTGCGTTTCTTTCCCCGTAAAGGGCCTCCCCTCCCCCGTGGTGACACAGAAGTCCACAGTCTGGCTGCAGCCCGTGACAGCCAGCACAGGTAGAGTGTGCATGTGTGTGCATGTGCACATGTGTGCTTAATGCCCAATGCCTGAGCATCCAAGGCCACACATCTAGGTCTCAAGGAGACCCGAGTTCTAACCCAAGCTGTGTTACTAACTCACTAAGTAACCTTGAGCAAGTCACTTCTGTGGGCCTCGGTCTTTCTCATCTGCCAAATGGGGAGAGGTTATCTCTGCCTTACCCAGTTCTGTGGCCTGCTGGCAGGGTCAAAGGGTAACAACAAAGAGGAAAGCATTTGGAAAAACCTCCAGCCTCATACAAATGCACGTGCTGTTATTTTTACCCACAAACATCAACCATGCCTCCCACACTAACAACACAGCCACCCCCTGATATATTCCATGACTCAATGTGAGACTATTTTAGGGCAGAAAATACACTTACATATATTTAGAACTTTCCTGATGCTGGAGCAAAAACTTAAAAGAACATCCGGCTTAGAAACCCTGCTGTCAGAATGCACCATTTCTTTTCTTTTCTTTTTTCTTTTCTCGTCTTCTTTTTTTTTTTGAGATGGAGTTTCGCTCTTGTTACCCAGGCTGGAGTGCAATGGCGCGATCTCGGCTCACCGCAACCTCCGCCTCCTGGGTTCAGGCAATTCTCCTGCCTCAGCCTCCCGAGTAGCTGGCACTACAGGCATGCGCCACCATGCCCAGATAATTTTTGTATTTTTAGTAGAGACGGGGTTTCACCATGTTGACCAGGATGGTCTCAATCTCTTGACCTCGTGATCCACCCGCCTCGGCCTCCCAAAGTGCTGGGATTACAGGCATGAGCCACCGCGCCCGGCCTCTTGTCTTCTTTTTCTCTTTTTTTTTCTTTTCTTGTTTTTCGGATTTTTTTTATCTTTGGTAACTAGATTTGTGTGTTGAGTTTGCTTCTTGAATTTGGGGTTTTGTTTTGGAGTTTTGGTTGTGTGTTCCTTTGGTTGTGGATGTTTTTGTTCGCATTTGCTTTGTTTTGCTTTGCCTTGCCTGAGAGCAACACTTAGCACTTTTAGAGGAAAACTGAGAAATTGGATTTTTTTTTTAGTCTCAAGGTTCCTGAGCCTTTCATGCTAAGGTTTGAGTCCCGATGACATCTTCCTTCACCTTCAAAATAGTTTAATTAAAAAATGCAATCTCTTTCCATGCCAGGTGTCAGTGCTGAGCGTTTTTTGTGAAATGTGACAGAGCCCTGAAGTGTCTAAGGACCATAACTTTACAGAAGGACAGTATTGAGTGGGATGCTCCAGCACTGTCCGCAAGAACTTTCTACAGAGATGTAAATGCTCTATATCTGTGCTGTCCACCATAGCAACCACTAGCCACATGTGGCTCTGGAGCACCTGAAATGTGACTAGGGCAAGTGACCTGGACCCTGTGGTTCTCAAACCTGGATGCACATCAGAATCACCTAGGGAGGTTTGCAGTGTACCAACCACATTGACTTGTATTTAATTCAAATTAATTTAACTTTAGATAGCCACACTTAGCCAGTGGCTGCCATCTTGGACAGCATAGTCTGGTTTCTAGCTACTTAAAGTTTGGAGACACTGGAATCTCCTATGAGCTTCTTAGAAATGCAGAACCCCAAGCTAGGTCCCAGACCTGCTTAATCAGAATCTGCATTTTAATGAAATCCCAGGATGATTCCTGTGTACATTAAAATTTGAGAAACGAGAAAACGTGGTCTAATGGTTTCGGAGGGTGGTTAGTTCTATTCCTGACTTCTTACTGATTTAATTGTTTCAACTTTATGGGTCTCAAGTTTCCTGAGTTAAGCATAGCTGGAAGCCTTTTAAGTGCCAGTAAGGTCAAGTGCAGATGAACAGCTACCACTGTGGTGGGCATGGGTAAGTTGGCAGATTATAAAAGAGGCCATGGGAGTGTTATGGTTTGACTCAACATACAAGAGAAGGCCCTAGAATCAGGACTGGTAACTTGAAGATTCATCAAGGGTGTTGATCTCAGGAGGGAGCTCCAGGCCAGAACTCACAGGTTCTCTTTGATTTTGGCAGGAGCTACAAGGTCCGATTCAATAGCGTCTCCTCCTACTCTGACTCCCAAAAATCATCAGGCGATGGACCCGACCTCAGAGACAACTTTGAGAGTGCTGGACCCCTGGCCAATGTGAGGTGAGCAAGGGGATAACGGGGTCGGGGGTCAGAGAAGACCAAGGCTCCCGGGGAGCTGGACCTAGTTACAAAATGAGCTCTTTGTTGTGGGGAGGGAGTCTCCCTCCTATGCCCATTCATTTCTCATAAAACCAGCTGCATGGCTGTCTAGGACCCCTCCCACCCATTAAGTCACTTTGCCTGGTTTCCCCATGCACCATTTTTTATCCTTTATGTGTCTTCTTTTTCTATGCACACTCCCTCACTTCCCATTACCCAAGGTTCACCCCATTATTTGTGCTGAAGGATATCAATCCCTGGATATTGCTCAACAAGCTGCCCTTCCCAATAGCTGTGGTATATACTTAATAGAAGCTTCTGTAGACACCCGGCTATGGCCCAATGGCTCTCAACCCTAAAGGCTCATCAAAGTCACCTAGAGAGGTTTGCAGCATACTAATACAATAGCCAAGCCTCATCTCCAGAGATTCTGATGGAATTGATCTAGAATTGGGCTCATGTGTTGCTTTTTTTCTTTTTCTTTAAGTCTCTCCAACTGACTCTAACATGCAGATTTGACAAATACTGCCCTAACCCTGCGTTATGTTGTGGCATAGTCACATACTATGACACAATTTGAGGAAGTATGTGAACAATTGTTTTATATTACAATAGTTGTGTGTTCAGTTTAATGGGTTCTCAGAAGGAAAGAAAACTGGGATGTCAAACCCTTGGTTTCATGGATACTGATCAAGACAAGCCCGATGTGAGTTGTCCCATAGGAAGGACATTCAGGCCTGGCCACAGATCTCTCAGACCTTCGCTAATGGAACCTTCTCCATCATTAGCTAGAGCAATGCTTAGTACATAACATAGATCACTGTTTGTTAGATATCAGAACATCTCTTATGTCCTCCAGGACATTGTAAAATAGGATTTATGGTTTTTTGTTTGTTTGATGCTGTTGTTGTTGTTTAAGAGATGGAGTCTCACTGTCACCCAGGCTGGAGTGCAGTGGCACGATCTCAGCTCACTGCAACATCCACCTCCCGGGTTCAAGAGATTCTCCTTTCTCCTACCTCAGCCTCCTGAGTAGCTGGGACTGCAGGTGCATGCCGCCATGCCCAGCAATTTTTTTTTTTTTTTTAAGTAGAGACCGAGTTTCATTATGTTGCCCAGGCTGGTCTTGAACTCCTGAGTTCAGGCAATCCAATTGCCTCGACCTCCCAAAGTGCTAGGATTACAGGTGTGAGGCCACCGCACCCAGCCTAGGCTTTATGCTTTAAAGCAATTTTAGTTGACAGCAAAGTGAGCAGAAAGTACAGAGAGTTCCCATATCTTCCTTTCCCTACACAGGCTCTCTCCTCCTATCAGCATCCTGCACCAGAGTGGTGCATTTGTTAGAATGATGCACCTACATGACACGTCATTATCAGCCGCAGTCCATCGTTCACTCTAGGGTTCACTCTTGGTGTTGCACATTCTACAGGTTTTGACATCAGTACTTTTTTCAGCCCAACATTGAAACGTCAGTTCTGGAGTTTGACAGTCAGACCCATTTTTCCCTTATTAAATCTATCATGGCAGGGTTTGGCAAACTAGTGCCTATGGGCCAAACCCAGCCTGGTCACTGCGTATGTTTTACAACCCATGAGCTAATAAAGGATTTTTTTACCAATGAACATTTGTAATTAGATTGATGGTAGAAAATATTACCTTTGAACCCCAGTAAAGAAAATGTTACTCTTCTCCCCCCAAAAATTAATTCCAGTCTTCTCATAGTCAACCTGTGTTAAAGTTTGCTTAATTATTATTATTATGTTTTTAATTTTATCAATTGAAAATGTTCAGGAATTTGTTTTCTTTCTTGTTTTGTAAGTACCTACATAATATCTTCAATTTTACTTCTTAGACTATAAGCCTAAAAATATTTGCTGTCTGACCCCCACATATAAAAAATTTGCCAACACCAGGCACAGTGCCTCATGCCTGTAATCCCAGCATTTGGGAGACTAAGGCAGGCAGATCACTTTAGCTCAGGAGTCCAAGACCAGCATGGACAACATGGCAAAACCCCATTTCTACCAAAAATATAAAAACTTAGCTGCTCATGGTGGCAGACACCTGTGGTCCCAGCTACTCCAGTGAGGCTTGAGCCTGGGAGGCAGAGGTTGCAGTGAGCCAAGATTGTGCCACTGCACTCCAGCCTGAACGATAGAGCAGAACTCTGTCTCAAAAAAAAATAATAAATAATAAAGTTTGCCAAGGCCAGGCACAGTGGCTAACGCCTACCATCTCAACACTTTGGAAGGCTGAGGTGGGAGGATCACTTCGTTTAAGACCAGCCTAGGCAACATATTGGGACCCTGTCTCTACAGAAAAAAATGAATTGATCCGCTGGGCACAGTGGCACATGTCTTTAGTCCCAGCTACTAGGAGGCTGTGGTGGGGAAATTGCCTGAGTCTAGGAGATCGAGGCCACAGTGAGCCATGATCGCACTACTACTGCACTCCAGTGTTCAGGAATTTGTTTTCTCTCTTGTTTTGTAAGTACCTACATAATATCTTCAATTTTACTTCTTAGACTATAAGCCTAAAAATATTTGCTTATATTATTGATGACAGAGCAAGACTCTGTCTCAAAAAAAAGTTTGCCAACTCCTGGTTTGAAGGCTTAAAATAGGAATTTTGAAATCGTAAGCTGAAGATTGTGATGGAAATGTGACAAGTAGTGACTGTGGTCTAGGTCCTCAGGTCCACCAAGAAGAACATTAATGAATCAACTGCCTGAATCATCTGTTGGTGAAAACAAGAGTCAGGAGTCTTAGTCCATTCGGGCTACTATACCAAATGTCATAAACTGGCAGCTTGTAAACAACAGAAATTTATTTCTCACAGTTCTAGAGGCTGGGAGGTCCAAGATCGAGGTGCTGGCAGATTCAGTGTCTGGTGAGGCCCCACTCTCTGGCTCATATAGATGGTACCTTCCAACTGCATCCTCACATGGCAGAAGGGGAAGAACTCTGGTCTCCTCAGCCCCTTATGAGGGCACTAATCTCATTCATGAGGCTTCACCTTCATGACCCAGTCACATCCAAAAAGGCCACTAATACCATGACACTGGGGGTTAGGTTTCAACCTATGAACATTCAAATCATAGCAGTGAAGAGCTAGTGAGGAAAGATGAAAAGCAAGTTCAAAAGCACAAATGAGTAATTAACAGTATCAGTGGTAATTAAACATGGCAGACATCACAACCATAAATCACAGAGATTCGGGAAACAACACCTTAACCAGAAGGTGTGACTAATGCTGGGACTTCCCAGGTCTGCACTGGGCTAAGTCTGAGGCAGATGGCTTAGGGCAGGGGTGCCCTTTCCCGTCACCCTTCCAATCAGCCCACACCCAGTCCCCATCTCTGTCTACGTGTCAGGCTGCCACCCTGCAAGAAAAGAGTAATGTTTTTAGATCCAGGAAGATCATTGGTTAAGAGTAAATGGCAGTCTGGGCATGGTGGCTCATGCCTGTAATCCCAGCACTTTGGGAGGCTGAAGTGTGTGGATCACCTGAGGTCAGGAGTTCAACACCATCGTGACCAACATGGTGAAACCCCATTTCTACTAAAAATACAAAAATTCGCTGGGCATGGTTGTGGGGTCCTGTAATCCCAGCTACTCAGGAGGGTAAGACAGGAGAATTGCTTGAACCTGGGAGGCAGATGTTGCAGTGAGTCAAGATCGCCACACCACTGCACTCCAGCCTGGGCGACAAGAGCAAGACTGTCTCAAAAAAAAAAAAAAAGAAGAAGTAAATGGCAAAATGCTGTCTAATCCCACATGCTTTATTTGGAAAGGCTCTAGAATTCTAGGGAAAGGAGGGCAAGGAAGAAGACGAAGATTAAATGATATGAGTGGATTTGAGAGGAGTGGATATTAACCTATATTAACCTTCACCTGTGACGCACCTGGACCAACCCCGAGTTCATGCTTCAATGATGGAGAATGCCTTCCCAGTTTCTCCTACCTTCTTCCTTCCTCCCCATCTCAATCTGTTACCATTTTGTTCCCATCACCCTGAAAAAGAGATTCAGGGGCAGGGCCTGACCCTGTATGGAGTAGTTTAAGTAGCCCCTCTCCGTGGTTTATCTGAGATGACAGTCTATGAAGAACACTCTGACCTTAAAAAGTGGGGCAAGGGGGGTGTTTCTGTCCCATTCATGAACTGTTGTTCTGTCCCTGTGAGGTCTAAGACCTACAGTCAAGATCAAGTTCTGGAAATGTGGCAGAAAGTGTCTGAAGGGCTGTAGACCATCCCTACAGAAGCCCTCCATTTCCCATACTTCAAAGAGTCCCCATCTCAACACGGAGAAATATCTCGCGAACTTGACCCCACTGGTTCAAGCACCAACATTTTCTTGGTGGTCTCTATGCACAGAGGGTCTATGAAAAAAATTCATTTCCTAGACCTTACAAGAAATCGAGCCAGAATAATTTATTTTTTTTAAGACAGAGTCTCTCTCTGTCACCCAGGCTGGAGTGCAGTGGCACGATCTTGGCTCACTGCAGCCCCCACCTCCCTGATTCAGGCGATTCTCCTGCCTCAGCCTCCCAAGTAGCTGGGACTACAGGTGCGTGCCACCACACCTGGCTAATTTTTTGTATTTTAGTACAGACAGAGTTTCACCGTGTTAGCTAGGATGGTCTCAATCTCTTGACCTCATGATCCACCTGCCTTAGCCTCCCAAAGTGCTGGGATTACAAGCATGGGCCACTATACCCAGCCTATTTATAACTCTTTCATCTCCTTTTAGAAGAACCTGTCTTGATGTGTTGATGACAGTTTCTTCTGGTCTCTTCATTAATATAAGTCCGAGAACTATTATGTTATAGTTTCATTATCTTCATACTTAAAACATCTAGTTATGCCACTTGTAGAATTCAAGCCCTCCTCTAACATAGGCTAATTTCTCCAACTGGTCCAGCTTAGAAATGGACATGCAAGAATCAGCCAGTGGTTCCAGGTCGCCGCTATCCCTAACTTGTCCTCCTTAGAACCAATTAGAATATTCTCCGGATGATGGCGATACTTACAAGAGACCAAAAGAAAGAGAGAGAAACCCTTGAGAGCCCTTAGGTTTAAAGTGCCCTTCCACAGATGAGCTTGGGGTTGCCTGACTGCCATCAGCTAAACACTGTTCTTCTTGAGATACCAGATGTATTAGTTGAGGCTGCCACAGCAAAACAGCACAGACAGAGTGGTATTGGCCGTAGTTCTAGAACTCACAGACAGCTTAAATAGAAACTTAATTTCTCATGGTGCTGGAAGCCAGAGCTCCAAGATCAGGGTGCTAGCAGGGTTGCCTTCTGGTGAGTTCTCTCTTTCTGGCTTGCAGATGACCACCTTCTTGCTATGTCCACAGAGAGAAAGAGAGAGGTAGAGAGAGAGAAAGAGAAGAAGAGAGAGAGTGCTCTGGTATCGCTTCCTCTTATATAAGGACACGAATCCTATCAGATCAGGGCTCTACGCTTATAAGCCCATTTCACTTTAATTACCTCCTTAAAGGCCCTATCTGGAAATACAGTTGTAAGGAGATCAGAGTTTTAATATATGAAATTTTGGGGGACACAGTTCAGCCCATTACACCAGACACTCTTCACATTCCCCACAGTCCCTTAGCATGAACATTCTGTTGTCTCCTTGACAGATTCTCAGTGTTCGGCCTTGGCTCACGAGCGTACCCTCACTTTTGCGCCTTTGGACACGCCGTGGACACCCTCCTGGAAGAACTGGGAGGGGAGAGGATCCTGAAGATGAGGGAAGGGGATGAGCTCTGTGGGCAGGAAGAGGCTTTCAGGACCTGGGCCAAGAAGGTCTTCAAGGTAATAATGGACCTACAGGGAGAAGTAGTCCTCCCCATGCTCCCCAAAGACAGCACCTAAACCATCAAGAAGAGAAGAAACTTGAGCAAACCCTCGGTACCTCTCCCATGTATCCAGCCTAGATGCAGCTTTAAACAGCTTAGACAAATTTGGGTGGACTGAGAACACATATTTTCTACATAGAATCCAACACCCTACATTATGGGCAAGGAGTCGGTCCATAAAAATGTTATGCAGTCTTGGAATGTCAGGCTGGGAGGAAGCCATCCCTCACTCAAATTTGGTATACAGGTATATAAAAAAACACATACAGTTGCTCAACCAAACCAAACTGAAGATCTTGGCAGTCTGTCAACTTTGACAAGCCTACCCTCTTGTGCTAGATTGTCAGTAACAATCTAGTATGGTAGCCACTAACCACACATAGGCATTTAAATTTAAACTAATTAAAATTGCATATGGTGAATGGGTAAATAAAATGTGGTACATCAACGCAATGGAATATTCTTCATCCATGAAAAGGAATGAAGTGATGATACCTGCTACAACATGGATGGACCTTGAAAACTTTATGCTAAGTGGAAGAAGCCAGTCACAAAAGAATATGTATTGCAGGATTCCATTTATATGAAATGTCCACAATGAGAAAATCCATAGAGACAGAAGGCAGGTTAGTGGTCACTAGGGGTTATGGGGATGGAAAATGGAAGTGACCGCTAATAGATTAAAAAACAATTTGCTGTGGGGGTTAGGGGTGATGAGAATGTTCTGGAAGCAGATAGTGGGAAGGGTTGCATAACCTTGTGAATGTTCTACGTGCCACAGAATTGTTCACGTTTGAGCAGTGAATTATGTTATATGAATTACATCTACACCTATTTATACGGTACAAAATTAAATAAGGCTGGGCGTGGTGGTTCATGCTTATAATCCCAGCACCTTGGGAGGCTGGGGTGGGAGGATTGCTTGAGCCCAGGAGCTCAAGACCAGTCTGGGAAACGTAGTGAGACCTCATCTCTTAAAAAATAATAATTAATTAATTAAATAGGTTAAAAATCCACTTCCTGACTTTTTCCAGACAGAAAAGAGAGATAGACCCTGCATCCACACCTCACCAGAAAACTACTAAAGTTCCTGAGGAAGGAAAGTAGAATTTCTGTAGAACATAATGGATGGAGAGGAGAAAACCCGTAGTGGCTGTGAAGCCCCTGGTGCCGTGTGTGTCTAATTGATACCTTCTGATGATCGTGAATTAATTGTAAAAATGGAACATGTGCTAATATCAGGAACAATAAAAGCCATGTTGAGTGACCCAGGTCAGTTTGCTGAGAACACAACCAATAAGGTTGATTTGAGAGAGAGATTCCTATTCCTGTGTCACCATACGTACACATGTATTTTCCATGCAAGGTTCACTACATTAACAGCTCCACTGAGATTCTAGAATCCCCGATTGTACCTGAAATTTGCACTAGAACTGCTGATGGCTGTGAACTTCGCAGATGGTTAAATAAAATAAATTATAATAAACTGTTAGCCAGGCATGGTGGCTCACACCTGCAATCCTAGCAATTTGGGAGGCCAAGAAGGGCAGATCGCCTGAGCTCAGGAGTTCGAGACCAGCCTGGGCAACATGGTGAAACCCCATCTCTACCAAAATACAAAAAATTAGCTTGGTGTGGCAGTGTGTGCCTATAGTCCCAGCTACTCAGGAGGCTGAGGGAGGAGAATTGCTTGAACCCAGCAGGTGGAGGTTGTGGTGAGCCAAGATCATGCCACTGCACTCCAGCCTGGGGGACAGAGTGAGACTCTATCTCATAAATAAATAAATAAAAATAATAAACTGCAATCTTCTTTCAGTATTTAAAAAAAATCCTGCCAGGCACAGTGGTTCACACCTGTAATCCCAGCACTCTGGGAGGCCAAGGTGGGCAGATCACGAGGTCAGGAGTTCAAAACCAGCCTGGCCAACATAGTAAAACCCCATCCTACTAAAAATACATAAAAGAAAAATTAGCTGAGAATGGTGGCAGGCGCCTGTAGTCCCAGCTACTTGGGAGGCTGAGGCAGGAGAATTGCTTGAACCTGGGAGGTGGAGGTTGCAGTGAGCTGAGATCATGCCACTGTACTCCAGCTTGGGCAACACAGTGAGACTCTGTCTCAAAGAAAAAAGAGAAAAGAAAAAAACATTCCATTGCTCAGTTTCAGTAACCACTTTCTGTATTCTCAGTCGCCACAGGGGTAGGAGTTTCCATATTAGACAGTGCAGAACCTTTCCATCATGATAAAACCTCCTATTGGCCAGAGCTGTTCTAAATTGAAGGCTACAGGAGTATAAATGAGCCATGCATGGCCTTTTACCTGCATATGAGGATTACTAAACTGGCCATCCTGGGGTGGGAAGTGGTAATGAATGTGGACCCTGCCACTTGTACCCACTCTATCCTAACCTTGGAATGCATTCTCATCAGCAACCCCAGGAGAAAGAGTACATGCAACCTTCTGTCATTCAGTTGGCACTTTTCATCCTGAGAGCAAATGCAGGTAGAGGGCAAATGGGGAAGCTGAGGCCCCTGGGCTATAAGGATTTCCATGTGGGGAGGCAGTGTTCATTAGCCTGTTCCTGCATTTCCTCCCATATAAGGAGAGTTGGGATAACTTGGCTTTTTATACCTATCAGGATAATTCTGTTCCTTGATTTCCACCAGCCAACCTTGACTTAGCCACCAGAAGCAAGGCTTGTTAAAAGCCACTATACCCTTCAGCCGTCAGTTCCTGTCCTCCCATCCCACCCCCGGCTCTGGTAACCACAAATCTAGTTTCCATCTCTGTAGATTTCCCTGTGCCGGACATTTCATGTGAATGGAATCATATAACATGTGGTCTTTTGTGACTGACTTCTTTAACTTAGTATAATGTTTTCAAGGTTCTTCCGTATTATAGCATATATCAGAACTTCATCCTTTTTTATAGCCAAATAATATTCCGTTGTATGGATGTGCCAAATCTTGTTAATCCATTCATCCACTGATGAACATTTGGATTGTTTTAAAGTCAACATGAGGTCAAACAATGGTAAAAGCCACTCTTAAAAATTATCATTATTGGGCCAGGCGCAGTGGCTCATGCCTGTAATCCCAGCACTTCGGGAGACCAAGGCAGGTGGATCACTTGAGGTTGCGAGTTCGAGACCAGCCTGACCAACATGGAGAAACCGCATCTCTACTAACTACATAAAATTAGCCAGGCATGGTGGTGCATACCTGTAATCTCAGCTACTCGGGAGGCTGAGGCAGGAGAATTGCTTGAACCCAGGCAGTGGAGGTTGCAGTAAGCCAAGATTATGCCATTGCACTTCAGCCTGGGCAACAGGAGCGAAACTCTGTCTCAAAAACAAACAAACAAACAAAAATCATTATTTTGAATTATCTGTGGTTTTATCTTAAAATAAATTAGGACATTGGCCAGGCATGGTGGCTCATGCCCATAATCCCAGCACTTTGGGAGGCTGAGGCAGGTGAATCACTTGAGGCCAGGAGCTCGAAACCAACCTGGTCAACATGGCAAAACCCTGTCTCTCCTAAAAATACAAAAATTAGCTGGGCATGGTGGCACATGCCTGTAATCCTAGCTACCTGGAAGGCTGAGGCAGGAGAATCACTTAAACTTGGGGAGGAGGTTGAGGCTGCAGTGAGCCAAGATCACACCACTGCACTCCAGCCTAGGTGGCAGAGTGAGATTCTGTCTTTTTTTTTTTTTTTTTTTTTTTTTTAGACAGAGTTTTGGTCTTGTTACCCAGGCTGGAGTGCAATGGTGCAATCTCGGCTCACCGCAACCTCTGCCTCCTGGGTTCAGGCAATTCTCCTGCCTCAGCCTCCTGAGTAGCTGGAATTACAGGCACGCGCCACCATGCCCAGCTAATTTTTTGTATTTCTTAGTAGAGACGGGGTTTCACCATGTTGACCAGGATGGTCTCGATCTCTTGACCTCGTGATCCACCCGCCTTGGCCTCCCGAAGTGCTGGGATTACAGGCTTGAGCCACCGCGCCCGGCCCGAGATTCTGTCTTAAATAAATAAATAAGGATATTAATTCTTAGAATTGTTAAAATTGAAGACCAAGTGAGCTTGACCAAAAAAAAAAGAAAAATGTATGTGCAGTTATTCAGACATTCAATATGCTCTGCCTTCATATAATTCTTACATATTTAAAGGAAGATGGATCGGGAAATTCTAAGATGTTTACTTTCTTCTTTAATGTTAAGTCTCTACACACATTAGTTTTCGGAATAAATGACATAATAGAATTATATCTTGAGTACAAGTTGGGCCTTAAAGTCAATGGCAAATCTGATGTGTCCAGTACATTGAAGACACTCAAAATATATAGGATGGATGGATGGACAGATGCATGCATGGAAAGATAGATGGGTGGGTAGGCGGGTGGGTGGGTGGGTGGGTGGATGGATGCATGGAAGGATGGATGAATGGAAAGATGGATGGATGGATGGATGGGTGGGTGGGTAGATGGAGGGAAGGATGGATGCATGGAAAGATGGATGGATGGATGATGGATGGATGGATGGGTGGGTGGAAGGATGGATAGATGGATGGGAGGGTAGAAGGATAGATGAATGGAAGGGTGGATGAATGGATGAAAGGAAGACAATGAAAGTGTAGAGGGAAGGAAGAAGGGAAGGAGGGAAGGGCTACTGGATGAATGGATGGTTAGATAGAGAGATGATGGATGGGTGGATGGATAGATGGCTGGATGGATAGAGAGATAGATGGATAGATGGGTGGGTGGATGGATGGATGGATGGATAGAGAGATGGATGGATAGATGGATGGATGGATGGATGGATAGTTAGAGGGATGGATGGATGTATGGATGGATAGTTTGAGAGATGGATGGATGGATAGTTAGAGAGATGGATGGTAGGTAGATGGAGAGATGGATGGATGGATGGGTGGATGGATGGTTAGAGAGAGAGATGGATGGGTGGGTGGATGGAGAGATGGATATGTATGGGTAGATGGAAAGATATATGCCATGACTTGGAGCTCTTGGAGAGGAGATCCACCTGGCTGAAAGAGGTAACTGAAAGCCTTGTGTACACCACAGGCAGCCTGTGATGTCTTCTGTGTGGGAGATGATGTCAACATTGAAAAGGCGAACAATTCCCTCATCAGCAATGACCGCAGCTGGAAGAGAAACAAGTTCCGCCTCACCTATGTGGCCGAAGCTCCAGAACTCACACAAGGTACCTCCCACCACCCTTCCAGGGAGGCATTCATGACAATGGGGGAAATGCAGGCGCTCTCACCTCCAGGAGGTGCTCAGAGAAGACCGGCTTTGTTGCTTTGCCCTCCCTTTAGTGCGGTCCTACCAAAACGAATACTTTGCTGCTCTCCCACACTCCGTGAAACAAGTGCTGGGAAATGTCTCTCTCTTGCTCTAGTAACATACCGTGTTCTTCTAAACCATCCTCTTCTCAGCTCAACCAGATTTTCTTTTTGTTCTGCATTACCCACATCCACCCCACCCATCCCAACCAATGCCTGCCTGATCTCTTCTCGTCTCTCACTGCACTCCAGAGATCAGTGGAAGTGTCAGTAGAGGTTGAATAAAATGCCACAGAGGGTTTGTCTGTATTAATATTCTCAGACAAGATCTCATTTTGTTTCCCAGGCTGGTCTTGAACTCCTGGCCTCAAGTGATCCTCCCACCTCAGTTTACTAAGCAGTCGGGATTATGGATGTGAGCCACCTTGCCCCACCCGGGGAGTTTTTGTGGAACATTCCACCCCATCTCAGGAAGACTGTTGTTTTTCCTCCCCACAGGTCTATCCAATGTCCACAAAAAGCGAGTCTCAGCCGCCCGACTCCTTAGCCGTCAAAACCTACAAAGCCCTAAATCCAGGTAGGAACACCATGGTTCATTGGGTTACCCACCTCTTCTCCTAAATGCCACCCACGATGGAGGAAAAGCCGTTGTGGACACCAAGGAGTGGCTGTTTTCCAATCATTGCAAAGTGCCCTCAAAACCCCCTTGCTACTTTGTAGCATCTGAGTTTCCTGCCTGCCTTTTCCCAAGCTCTAATCTGAAGGAGTGGGAAAAGGAAATGGTGTTGATCTCCTGAAAAGAGGAAAGAAAAAGGTTTTCTGAGTAACTTTTAACAGTGGACTGCACCCGGGTAGAATTGCTACATGCTCAATGTACCACAGCATCTTAGCTGGAAATCACTTCATCCATGTATTTCCTATTGTGGATAATTTTTTTAATGGAGTGCTAAAAAATGGCTACCCACACTCTGCTTAAATTTCTTTGGGTTGATGGGAGGCTCATTATCTCACAAAACAGCCCACTCTGTGTTTTGAAGTCCTAATTGTTAAAATTAGCTTAATATCCAATATGATTAATTATCTTATTATCTAATATAACCAAAGCATGTCTTCCTAGCAGTTTATTTTAAAGCCAGTTATACTCTCTGGTGACACCTAAGACAAGTTTATTTCTTTCCAAATGAGAGACCTGCAAATAACCAGTGACACTGACCAATCTCCCGTGGGTCCTAATTGCTTCAAGTCATTCTTCCTAAGATGTAGTTTCCCAAGCCTCTGGCTTTCATAAAAGGACACACTCTGTCCTGCTGGAAATGTCACTCTCAGACCTGGTTACAGTAGAGGGCATGTGATCACTGCCAAATGTGCTGAGGTTATCGTCGTCACCAATCTGAGCAGGACGCGCTAATGCTGCCGGAGATCACAGGCGTGGTTCTAATAGCCGTTCTGCTCTTCCGTTAAAAGCGGTCGCTGCTGTTCTTAGACCTCACGTCGTCTCAAAATGATCAAACCAGGTCTGTCCATCTCTCTACTTGTATAAATAATTTTTCTCGCACTAATGAAAGTCTTTGCAGAGATTCCTATTGAATGGAATCTTTTTCACTTTGTAGGTACAGCAGAAGACCTTTTCAAGTCTTAATTTTTTGCACAGCATACTTTACTGCACTGTGTTTCACTGGGTTACCCACCTCTGCTCCCAGGTGCCACCCACAATAAAGGACAAGCTCTTGTTGATTCCAAGGACTGGCTGTTTTCCAATCATTGCAAAGTGCCATAGAGACCCCCCTGCTGCTCTGGGAACAGAGGTGGGTAACCCACTGAACACAAGAACAGTGCACTGAACTATGCTGTGCAAAGAATCAAGACTTGAAAAGTTCTTCTGCTGTAACTGCAAAGTGACAAACATTCCATTCAATGGGAACCAATGCAAAGACTTGCGTTAGAGCTAGAAAAATTACTTATACAATAGAGAGATGAACAGACCTTTGATCAATTTGAGATGTGATGTCTAAGAGGAGGCTCTTGGCTGGGCATGGTGACTCACGCCTGCAATCCCAGCACATTCGGAGGCTGAGGCAGGTGGATCACCTGAGGTCGGGAGTTCAAGACCAGCCTGACCAACATGGAGAAACCCTGTCTCTACTAAAAATACAAAATTAGGCCAGGTGCGGTGGCTCATGCTTGTAATCCCAGCACTTTGAGAGGTCGAGGTGGGCGGATTACAAGGTCAGGAGTTCGAGACCAGCCTGGCCAAAATAGTGAAACCCCATCTCTACTAAAAATACAAAAATAAGCTGGGTGTGTTGGTGGACACCTGTAATCCCAACTACTCGGAAGGCTGAGGTAGGAGAATTGCTTGAACCCAGGAGGCAGAGGTTGCAGTGAGCAAAGATCGTGCCACTGCACTCCAGCTCGGGCAATGGAGCTAGACTCATCTCAAAAAAAAAGAAAAGAAAAAATACAAAATTAGGTGGGCATGGTGGCACATGCCTGTAATCCCAGCTACTCAGGAGACTGAGGCAGGAGAATCGCTTAAACCTGGGAGGCGGAGGTTGTGGTGAGCCGAGATTGCACGATTGCACTCCAGCCTGGGCAACAAGAGTGAAACTCTGTCTTAAAAAAAAAAAAAGAAAAAGAAAAAGAGTAGGCTCTTGAGTTGAGCAGTCCTGGGTTCTAAGCCCAGCTCTGCCATGCACTAGCTGTCCAGCCTTGGGCAAGTCATTTAGGTAGTCTGAGCCCCTGTCTCCTTACCTCTAGAATGGGAGTGGTAGCTATGAAGATTGCTAATGTTTTTCTAGAGCTTTCTGTGTTCCAAGCACTGTGCTGAGCCCTCTGTGCAGGATCTTTTATAATTCTAACCAGCCTGGGAAGTAGGTACTCTTACCATACACATTTAAAATAGGAGCAATGACAGCTAAAAAATACAAGTGACTTTCTCAAGGTCACACCGACCCGGTTATCTGACGCCAAAGTCAGTGTGCCAAATGGCTACACAGATGGCCTCACCAGCATTGCAAGGCTGCTGAGTATTAAAAATCAGCTACATAAAGCAGCTAGCCTATCATAGGGTCCAGTCAGTATTCTTTATCCATCCCTGCTTCATGTCACCTGCATATTTAGTGTGCATGTTTTCAATATCATCTTCCAACCCTTTGATACAAGCGATCCACAGAGAAGAACCCCAGGACTCCCACATTCTTAGAGCCCCAAACATGAAAGAAATGGAGTGGGAAGTTAATCTCTGAATAATTAGTTAAGTGCAGTTCACAGCATAATGGCCTCCGACATAGAGAGGGACTCTAGTTGAAATACATCTCTTACTACTTATTTCTGTCCTATGGGAAAGGATGATTTAAGTAGCATTGCATGAGAAGGTCTAATAATCTACTGGAAGTTTCTTTCAGCAACAAACTATGAAAGCCCAGCTTACGGAATTTATTCCCAAAGCCATAGTACATAAGTAGCAGGAAACTTGCAAATTTTTTGATGCTAAGTGGAACCAAAAGTCTCCAAATCAGCCCCCACCCCCGCCAATGCAGAAGGGTACCTGACTCTAAGCTACGGGCCTAAAAGTGACTAACCAGAGAATATTCCAAACAAGGTTAGAAATGGAGTGTAGACTTCAAATCAGTTATGAATTAGCACAACGAGGACCCAATTGTGCCTCCGTTTTTGTCTCTCTAAAAGCATGTTCTGTATTTTCAAGCTTAAAGTGCTTTAAAAGCACTACCTATTTGTAAGCTTAATACCATTTCCAGCTTCATAAGGTTTATTTTAAAAAAAAGAAGAAGAAAAAGAGGAAGGATAATTGAGTAGAAAAGCATGACCCTCCCATTTTCTCCTACCCAAGGCTGCAGTTGGGCTATTTGACCCAAAAGGCCATAACCAAGATATCACTAATCCTCCTGAGAGAAACCATTAATTGCAGGCAAAGTGCATATGAGGAAATAGGCAGCCTTTTGAGGATGATCCTTGAAAATCTAAAGAGAAAAGTGACTGCTCACCATCACAGCCTAGAAATAAATTTTCTAATGCACATACAATTAGCAAATGACACGGAAGAGGGAGCATAATGGATCGCTAATGTGTTGGGTGTAGACGCTAAGTCCTCGAAGTCAGGAGGAAGAGGGGAACACAGGACTTGAGATGAACCTCTTCAGGGAGGGTGGGCTTTAGAAAGGCAGAAGGGGGGTGTCAGGAAGAAAGAACAGCAGAAGTCAAGGTCAGCACTGGGATGTTTGGGAGAGTGGCAGCATTACAATGGCGAGTTCTTGATCAGAAGAATGCTTCAGTCTCATCTCTTCCTCAAGTAAAACCGCTTCTCTCCAGTCTTCCCCATCTCAACCAAGGACATCAACATGTGGCTTCAGCCAAAACCTCCAGCGTCATCCTCACTCCTCTCTCCCTCGCACGGGTCATGCAGTCCCTCAGCAGATGCCCTTGGCCTTGTCTTTCAACTACATCTCTGACCCAAGACCTGGAGCGGAGCCATGGGCATCTCTGATCTGAGTGACTAGAATAGCCACCCAACTTGTATCTTGGTTTCTGAACTCTTCTCTAAAAAGATCATTTTCCAAAAACCAGACAGAGGAATTTTTCCTTTCTTTCTTTTTATTTTTATTTATTTTCTTTTTGAGGTTAAGAGTGGAAGTTTAATAGGTGAAAGAAAGAGCTCTCTGCTGCAGAGAGGGGTCCCGGAGAAAGGGTTGTCAGATCCACAGTGAAATACAGAGAGTTTTACAGGTGCCTGGGTGAGGAGGCAGTATTTGATTTACATAGGGTGCAAAAGATTGGTTGAACCAGGTGTGCCATTTGCATAGGGCGAGAAAAACTGGTTAGGACTAGGTGTCCCACTTGTATAGGATGTGAATTTCTGGCCGCCCCCACCCTAATCTTTTTCTATGCAAGCAGGTCCTCAGACAGAGGAATCTTTTAAAACCGTAAATTGAAGGCCATCACTCCCTGCTTCACAGCATCTGGTGGTCTCCTGCTGGACTTCAGGAAACTTCCAAACTCCTTGCCATGACAGGTCATCATGAGGCTCTTGTGATCCACCCCCCCACCCTCCAAACAAACACTCCAGCCTTCTTTCCCCTCCTTGAACATGCTGCCTTTTCTCTGCCTCTGGGCCTTTGAACGTGCTCTTCCCTATCCCGGGAATGCTGTGCCTGCAAGTCTTTGTTGGTCTCTGCTTAAGTGTCAGATCGCCAGACTGTCTCCTCCGCCAGTCTCCCTGACTGTCCTATCTGACATAGCCAACTCCTCTCAGCCCATCACCACCCACTCATCCACGTCACCAACCCCACTTGAGCTCTTTTAAATGACTTCTCAATGAGAACACAGCATTTTGCCATCCTTCTCTATCACTCCGTCATCAGTGCCTAGAACAGTGCCTGATACACAATATACATGTGTAGAATGAATGAACTTCATTAACTTGAGCAGTTCACAGCTGACAATATTTACTCTTTTCATTGAAGAATGCACATTTTCTGGGTTTTTTTTTTTCCATTTAATGCTGGACATTAGCAAATTATTATTTTATCTGCAAACCTATCATTGAGCCACTGCCAAATGAAGGGGTGTGTGTGTGTGTGTGTGTGTGTGTGTGTGTGTGTCTGTCTGTCTGTCTGTCTCACTTCTGGATGTGGCTGGAAATCACACAGAGGGGACACTCATGGGAGAAGGGAATAGGGCCCACATGGCTGCTGCTGTTCCATTGCCTCTTCCCCTCTCCCTGTACTTCTCAGTGTCCCAAGCTTTAAGAAAACGTTTAAAAATAGGCCAGGTGAAGTGGCTTACACCTGTAATCCCAGCACTTTGGGAGATCAACTGAGATCCAGAGTTCGAGACCACCCTGGCTGTGATGGTTAAAATCTGTCTCTGCTAAAAATACAAAAACTAGCCGGGCATGGTGGCAGATGCCTGTAATCCCAGCTACTCAGGAGTCTGAGGCAGAACAATTGTTTGAATCCAGGAGGCAGAAGTTGCAGTGAGCTAAGAGTACGCCACTGCATTCCAGCCTGGGCAACAGAGTGAGACTCCTCTTAATAATGATAATAATAAATTATCTGCTTAGAAAGCTCAGCAGGCTGGGCACAGTAGCTCACACCTGTAATCCCAGCACTTTGGGAGGCTGCGGTGGGTGGATCACCTGAGGTCGAGAGTTCAAGACCAGCCTGACCAACATAGACAAACCCCATCTCTACTAAAAAACAAAATAATAATAATAATAATCGGGCATGGTGATGCAAATCCTGTAATCCCAGCTACTTGGGAGGCTGAAGTAAGAGAATCTCTTGAACCCGGAAGGCAGAGGTTGTGGTGAGCCGAGATCACATGCCATTGCACTCCAGCCTGGGCAACAAGAATAAAACTCCATCTCAAAAAAAAAAAAAGAAAAAGAAAAAGCTCAGCAGAACTGAGATTTCAGACAATTGGTTTCTGAGCCAATGCTATCCCCCAGAGATTCGGCCTCCCAGCAAAGCATCAGAGACATGCCCAGCAAGGTGCCCTGGGGCCCCACAGCCATTTAATGCCAAGGTTCTCAGCAAGTAGCCTGCAGAGTCCCCTTGATTAAACTCCCAGCAGGGCCAGAGCCTGGACCCGCCTTCTAGCCCACCTGTCAGCCACGTTCCCATCCTTCTCCTTGTCTGCACGGCCACCCTCTGCCTCGTTCAAGAGGACTTGGGGGGAGGTGGCTGTGCTCGTGAGCTAGCTCAGCAAGTTTGGGTCCTCTGCATTTCTATTTTGTACAAATCATGATGATCTGGGAAGAAAGCGGGAATTGATTTGCGGGCCTTTCAAAGGCTTCCTCTGGGTAGGCCAAGGAGGATCCCGAATTAGAAGCCCCACAGTGCCCCCTGCTGGCCACGGCCTCTGTTACTTCCTTCCTGCAGCTCTTTGGAGGTAATGTCTTTTGCTCCCCAGGAACCAAAGACCCGAGTGAGCTCAGAGAAGGCGCAGTCATGAGAGTTCCCAGACAGGGCAAGATCTGCCCAGGGAGGGACAGTGGGACCCCAGACCCTAGTACCGCCATCACAGTTATGGTCACCAAGTTCCCCACTTTGCTAAAGGCGGGGATGCCTTGCTTCAGGAAAATACTTGACACTCCTTCCTCCCCCAAAATAATGTGCCCACTCAACTGTTTTTAACAATGGTGGCTATTTGTAGCACAAAAGGGTTCTTGGTTGAGCCAAAACTCCTTTAAATAGCGAGTCCCATTGGGCTATTCAAGTGTTGATTTATGTACCATAGAAAATATAGAAACTTCATGTTGAATATCAAGCATCTCTAGCCACTGAAAACTAATTGGCAATGAAGAATAAGCAGATCCAAAAAAGCAATCATAGCTCAAAGGGTGCAAAGGATTTGATTTCTCAAAGTGTGATTGATCCTAGAGTTTGCAGGTATTGTGTGAAATGCAGTATATCTGTACTGAAACTTTTTTTTTTTTTTTGAGACAGAATCTCACTCTGTTGCCCAGGCTGGAATGCAGTGGTGCAGTCTCGGCTCACTGCATCCTCCACCTCCTGGATTCAAATGATTCTCCTGCCTCAGCCTCCCGAGTAGCTGGGATTACAGGCACATGCCACAACACTCAGCTAATATTTGTATTTTTAGTAGAGACGGGGTTTCACCATGTTGGCCAGGCTGTCTCGAACTCCTGACCTCAGGTGATCCGCTCACCTCGGTCTCCCAAAGTGCTGGGATTAGAGGCATGAGCCACCGTACCCAGCCTGTACTGAAACTTTTTAGAAGACCAGAATAATCATATTCCGAGAGTTTATTCTTGAAAGCTGTTAGATTAGCACAGGCCTCCTGAACTTGAAACACAAAAATCAATGCAGAAAGGTATAACCTTGCAAGCATCAAGGACTTCCTTCCGTGTTTTCTTTTTGGATCTCTCAATTTTGTAATATTGGTGAATTTATGCATAGGAGGAACCCGAGCTTAGAGCCAAGTCCTTTTGCCTTTACCGAGACGACAGGAGGAGCCCTGGTAGCCACAGTGGGTGGGGCGGGGAATTCCTAGGAAAGACAGAATTTCACAGATTGGAGACACCACAGCCTGTGGTCCCAGTGAGGTGCTAGACCTTGAGAGGACCCCTGTTAGTACTGAGAATGGGGAGCTAGAATCCTAAAGAAGGGAATTAAGAAGGAGAGAGTGAAGAGCCAGGCCCAATACTGCTTCCAGATCCAGTTGAGCCCCAGGAAGCAGCCATTGGTATTGCAGTAAGGAGTTCACTGGTGACCTTGAAAACCTCAGTGAAGAATGATGGCTGGGCACTGGCCCTTACCTGTAATCCTAGCACTTTGGAAGGCCGAGGTGGGAAGATTGCTTCAGCTCACAAGTTTGAGACCAGCCTGGGCCACATAGGGAAATCCCATCTGTACAAAAAATTCCAAAATTAGCCAGGCATGACGGCGCGTGCCTGTAGTCCCAGCTACTGGGGAGGCTGAGGCCACAACACCCAGCTAATTCCTTGAGCTTGGGAGATCGAGGCTTCAGTGAGCCGTGATCATGCCACTGCACTCCAGCCAGGGCGACAGAGCAAGACCCTATCTTACCAAAATAATAATAATAGTAATAGAATGATAGGGGCACAGGCTTGATCAGCACAGGTCTCTGCAAGAATGGGAGGAGGAGAATTGCAGCCAACAAGGACAGACAAAAGAGCAGAGAAAAGGGGGACGTAGCTGGTGGCCCTTGTCCTAAGGTTCGCCTGCAATTTCCTGCAGCCGCTCGACCATCTTCGTGCGTCTCCACACCAACGGGAGTCAGGAGTTGCAGTACCAGCCTGGGGACCACCTGGGTGTCTTCCCTGGCAACCATGAGGACCTCGTGAATGCCCTGATGGAGCGGCTGGAGGACACGCCCCCTGTCAACCAGATGGTGAAAGTGGAGCTGCTGGAGGAGCGGAACACGGCTTTAGGTAACATTCCCGGGGCCCTTCCCCGCTCTAGGGAGCTGCAGAGGCAGTGCTGTCTGGGAAGAAGAGATCCGCTCTTCCCAATCACCAACCCAGGCAGGAGAGTGCGTCTCTGTCCCTGACAGTCTGTGAGACTGAAGATTTCCCCTTTCTCATGGCTGATCCACCTTGGCCCAACCAGCCAAGCAGATAAATGCCCACGGTGCCAAGCCATCGATGGCTCACCTTTGGGAGAAGGGGGCTGCTACCCTCCCTCATTGACGACACGAACTTCAGCACTAGACACTTTCACTTTCCATCCTCACCACTACCCCTCAGGAAATCTCTAGCAGCCCATTGCCCACCAAGCGAATAACAGCCGAAGTCTGATCCTGCCTCCTCTTAGAATCAAAAGGTACCATAGAAAGCTCGATGGCCAACTAGGAAATGAAGCCACATTTTTCAGCTGCTTAAGTGTCCATCCTTGAAATTCATATTGAGGAACTTTCAAAGGCAAATGGGTCTCAGTGCTTCATCTCAGGAGCACAGGTGGGCTCAGGGGTCAGGGACAGGAATAGCAGTGACCTTACCTAGCAGAGCATGATACATGACCGTCACTTTTACAAAAGAGCGAGGATGTAAAGTCAGGACAGAATGTGAAAGTAGCGAATAGTCAAAGCCTGTTGAAAACCTCTTAGGAAGGCACTGCTTAAGAGAGACTTACCCTCTCTTAGGAAATCCTAGCTGAGCGAGATGGCTTACGCCTGTAATCCCAACACTTTGGGAGGCCAAGGCGGGCAGGTCACTTGAGCCCAGGAGTTCAAGACCAGCCTTGGCAACATGGCAAAACCGCATCTCTACAAATATATACATTTATATACACACACACAGAAACAAAAATTAGCCAGGCATCAGGCTGGGCATGCTTGCTCACTCCTGTAATCCCGGCACTTTGGAAGGCCAAGGTGGGTGGATCACCTGAGGTCAGGAGTTTGAGATCAGCCTGGCCAACATGGCGAAACCCCATCTCTACTAAAAATAGCAAAAATTAGCCAGGCGTGGTGGCGGGCTCCTGTATTTCCAGCTATTTGGGAGGCTGAGGCAGAAGAATCGCTTGAACCCAGGAGGCAGAGGTTGCAGTGAGCCCAGGTCATGCCATTGCACTCCAGCCTGGGCAACAAGAGTGAAAGTCCATCTCAAAAAAATTAAAAATTAAAAAAAAATTAGCCAGGCATGGTGGCACACTCCTGTAGTCCCAGCTACTCAGGAGTCTGAGGTGGGAGGATAACTTGAGCATGGGATTCAAAGCTACTGTGAGGTATGATTGCACCACTGCACTCTAGCCTGGATGACGGAGTTAGACTCTGTCTCAAAAAAAATAATAACTAAAATAAAAATAAAAATAAATCCAACCCAGCCAGTTCTTCCTCTGTGTTGAAATAGAGCTTTTTATTTGGGGTTAAATCCCTGATGAAGGAGAGACTTATATATAGGGACCATATTTGATGAAAAGTGTATAGAAGGAGTACAATATAGTTGTCGAACAAGGTCTGAAGCCACACTGCCTAACTTCACGCTTATGAGCTCTGTGACCTCGGGCAAATTCCTTAACCTCTCTGTGCTTCTATTTTTCTCAGTGGGGAGAAAAATAACACTAACTGTCTCGGATTGTTGTAATGACTAAATGAGTTGATAATATAAAATACTCAGGCTGAACATGGTGGCTCAAGCCTGTAATCCCAGCACTTTTCAAGGCTGAGTCAGGAGTTCGAGACCAGCCTGACGAACAGGAAGAAACCCCTCTCTACTAAAAATACAAAATTAGCTGGGCATGATGGCGGATGCCTATAATCCCAGCTACTCAGGAGGCTGAGGCAGGAGAATCGCTTGAACCCAGGAGGCAGAGGTTGCAGTGAGCCGAGACTGAGCCATTGCACTCCAGTCTGGGCAGGAAGAGCAAAACTCTGTCTAAAAAAAAAATAATAATAATATAAAATATGAGTAATAGTAATCAGCATATAGAATGTGCTAGATAAATGTTAGTGTTTATAATGACAAACCCTAATACCCCATTCGGGGGTGGGAGGCTGCTACCATGTGAAGACACGTGGGGCCAAAATAGGCTTGTCTCTGTCACACACAGCTGGGGGCTCGTCGTGTGGAACGCCAGTAGACTGTGTCATGCTATTTTAATAGTCTTCTTCTCTCTTCATTTTTTTTCTTAATTTTTGGATTCCTTTGCCTCATTACTTTAGGATTTGCTTCTTGCACATGTGAGGTCCCCTGGATTCTGGGCGTGGAAGGTGGAGAGCTAGGGGGTTGCTTGGCTGTGGAGCCACCCTGCTCCCTTGGCCCCATCCTCTGCTCTAGGAGCAAACCCAGACCCCCAACTTGGACTCAAGCCCTCCCACACCCACCCCTCACCCACCTTGTACCTCCACAGGCGTCATCAGTAACTGGACAGACGAGTGCCGCCTCCCGCCCTGCACCATCTTCCAGGCCTTCAAGTACTACCTGGACATCACCACGCCGCCAACACCCCTGCAGCTGCAGCAGTTTGCCTCCCTAGCCACCAGCGACAAGGAGAAGCAGCGTCTGCTGGTCCTCAGCAAGGTGGGTCCCCAGGCTTTGCACAACGCTAGGGGGTGCCTTTCACCTCCGCGTCATTAAAGAGTTGAAAACTGTTATTGCACTAGGCTTCCAGCAGATGACAGTCTTGAGCCAAGGGGGCCATTATTTGCAGTAGGTCGCCATATTGGCTGGTCCAATGTGGCTGGTCTTCCCCCAGTTCTAAGGCTTGGCAGAGAGAGTGACTCCCATGAATCAAACAGGTCCCTGGCTACAACCGAAATTGCTATTCTGACTCTGCCTTCCCTCTGGAACCGTGAGCTTCCATTACTGCCATCTTAGCCCATGCTTAGGAGAAAAAGAAACGGAATCTCACCATGCCTTGGTTTAAAGAGTAGGTTTTTTTCTTGCTTTTTGATTTCTTTTCTTTTTATTTTTATGCATACTTGGTAGGTATATATATTTGTGCGGTACATGTGATGTTTTGATACAGCCATACAATGTGTAATAATCACATCAGGCTGAATAGGGTGTTCATCCCCTCCAGCATTCATCATTTCTTGTGCTGAGAACATTCCAATTCCACTCTTTTAGTTATTTTTAAATATACAATAAATTATTTTCGACCATAGTCACCTTGTCTAGGAAATACTAGATCTTATTCTTTTTTTTTTTGTTTTTTCCTGATACAAAGTTTCACTCTTTAGCCCAGGCTGGAGTGCAGTGATGCAATCTTGGTTCACTGCCACCTCCATTTCCCAGGCTCAAAGGATAGATTCTCGTGCCTCGTGCCTCGGCCCTCTGAGTAGCTGGAATTACAGATGCCTGCCACCATGCCCAGCTAATTTTTGTAGCTTTTTTCTTAGTAGAGACAGAGTTTCACTGTGAAACCCCTGACCTCAGGTGATTCACCTGCCGTGGCCTCCCAAAGTCCTGGAATTACAGGCGTAAGCCACCACGCCCAGCCTAGATTCTGTTCCTTCTATTCCTGTACCCATGAACCATCTGTACTTCCCCACCCCACCAACTACCCTTCCCTGCCTCTGGTAGCCCTTCTTCTACTCTCCGTCTCCATAACTTCATTTGCTTTTAGTTTTTAGCTCCCACAAATGAATGAGAACAAACAAAAGTTGTCTTATTGTGCCTCGCTTCTTTCACTTAACATGATGTCCTCCGGTTCCATCCACGTGGCTGCAAATGATGAGTTTTTGCCAATTCAGAGGAGCTGCAGGTGGGACTACTACAGATCAGCGGCCTCTGATTGTAAAATGAACCAAACGTAGCCTCTACCACCATTGCTTAGAAACCCTGGGCTCAAGACCAGGCACAGTGGCTCATGCCTGTAATCTTAGCACTTTGGGAGGCCAAGGCAGGTAGATCACCTGTAGTCAGGAGTTGGAGACCAGCCTGGCCAACATGGTGAAACCCCATCTCTACTAAAAATTCAAAATTAGCCAGGGAATGATGGCACATGCCTGTAATGCCAGCTACTTGGAAACCTGAGGCAGGAGAATCACTTGAACCCAGGAGGTGGAGGTTGCAGTGAGCAGAGATCACACCATTGCACTCTAGCCTGGGCAACAAGAGCAAAACTCTGTCTCAGGAAAAAAAAAAAAAACAAAAAACAAAAAGGAAACCCTGGGCTCACCTGCCCCAGCCCACTGTAAAGCCTTGCTCAGTAAGAATTCTACCCAGGAGAACCACCTACACTCCTCCCAGTGTGGAGGGTCCTTCCCAATAAGCAAGCCCCCAGCACAGGATGGCTTAGCTTTCTTCACCATCCAGGAGAGGAGATTGAATGGTAGGCAGCAAGGAAGAGGCTCATTAGTGAGTGCATAATATTTAGAAATATGAAAATAAGTACCAGAAGGAGCACTTAAAAGAGCCGTAAGTAGTTACCTCTGGGGAGTTGGAAGCAGATGGCAGAGGTAGAACAGGAGACCATTATTTTTAATCATAAGCTTTGCAAAGTTATTTAACTTTTTAGACTATCTGCAAGTATAATTTTGGCTTACAACTTTTAATTAATGGAGGAGGGTGGCTAATAGGAAGAAAGACCATAGATTGCACTGTTGGTACATTATTAGATTGCACCATTTTTACCTTATTTAAAGTAGATTTTGTGCACAGTGGCTCGTGCCTGTAATCCCAGCAGTCTGGGAGGCAGAGATGGGAAGATTGCTGGAGGCCAAGAGTTTGGAACCAACCTGGGCAATATAGAGAGACCCCATTTCTACAAAAAAAATTAAACTGGCTGGCTGTCACGGCACATGCCTGTAGTCCCACCTACTCAGGAGGCTGAAGTGGGAGGATCACTTGAGCCCAGCAGTTCAAGGCTGCAATAAATCACGATCTTGCAACTGTACTCCAGCCTGGGTGAAAGAGCAAGACCCCATGTCAATCCATCAGTCAACAGTAGAATTTGATATAACCCATATATATTAGTTCATTTCTTCCAAAAAAATACAGACTTTGAGACAGGATTAAATGAGCAAGGATTTTTATTAGGGGAAACACCTGTGTGATGGAAAATGAAAACAGGATCAGATAAGGCTGGAAGAACCGTCATGCCTCAAAACAAATCTAACCCCATGCAAAGAAAAAGGAAGGAAGGTTGGACAGGAATGTTCTAGACTGCAGTGCAGCTTAAGGAAGGCCCAGCAAGGTCCTGGAGGAGTCCTGGGGCCTCTTGTGCTTGGTCATTGGCAGGAAGCACCTGTGGGAAGCCAGTGTGGCACCAACAGGATGACGGATGTCAGTTTCCGGTGATGTCAGTTTCAGAGTTGGGAGGCCAGGGTTCTTGGTCCATTTTGCTCCTGCAGCTGCAGGCACGATGTCAAGGATGCCATTGCCTATTAATACGGCCAGGACAGTCTTAAGGAACATGGGGAAAAGCTTTGTTATACCATGTACTCGCACCCTGGTCTCAGAAACTGAGCCTTCTGTGCCAGCAATCAGAGACTGCCTAGGGAGGGCATCTTCTGAGATTAAGGAAAAATAACTCCAGAGCTCCAGAGTGTTCCTCTGTTGCCTGGTTACAGCTGGGCTTTGCTGTCAACATGTCCCCAAACATGGCCCTCCACACACCCCAACATGATTTTCCGGGGCTGCCACTCACCGTCGCGAACATGACCCAAGCTCTCCAAAGACGCATCTCTAGACTCTGCAACCAGCAAATCACAGGTCTGCACTGGATGCCTGCCACTCCCGCCATGAGTCATGACTCCCTTCCAGAGTGCGTCTCTCTTGACTTCAGGAGTGTGTAGTGACTCGGAACACAGATTCTGAGGACACACTGTCTAAAGCAAGGGTCAGTTTCACTCAGCATCACCACCTAGTTTGGGACTCGTCTATAAAACTGGGAAATAGTAATACCTATTTCATAAGGTCCTCATGAGAATTAAAATGTGGCATAGAATAATTTCTGTTCAAGTGTTAACTATTATTGCCTGCTTGCTTGCTTTTCTTGTTTCTCTCTTTTTCTTTCTTTCTCTTTCCTTTCATCCTTCCTTCCTTCCTCTTTCTCTTTCGCTTTCTTCCCTCCCTCCCTCCCTCTCTCTCTCTTTCTCTCTTTCTTGTTTCTTTCTTTGGACAGGGTCTCACTGTCACCCAGGCTGGAGTGCAATGGCACAATCATAGCTCACTCAGCCTCAAGCACCTGAACTCAAGCAGTCCTCCCACCTCAGCCTTCCAGGTAACTGTGGTACTGCAGACATCCACCACCACACCCAACTAATTTTTCTTAACTTTTTGTAGAGACGGGGTCTTACTGTGTTTCCCAGGCTGGCCTTGAACTCCTAGCTTCAAGTGATCCTCTCTCCTCAGCCTCCCAAAGCACTGGGATTACAAGCATGAGCCACTGCACCTGTCAAGTTTTATTTCGCCTTCTTCCTGGATCCCCTGAGGTCCTCATGGGAACTATATAGCAGCTGAGTTCAAGTTTGTCTTTCCCTCTACTTGGCACAGGGGTTGCAGGAGTACGAGGAATGGAAATGGGGCAAGAACCCCACCATTGTGGAGGTGCTGGAGGAGTTCCCATCCATCCAGATGCCAGCCACCCTGCTCCTGACCCAGCTGTCCCTGCTGCAGCCCCGCTACTATTCCATCAGCTCCTCCCCAGACATGTACCCGGATGAAGTGCACCTCACTGTGGCCATCGTTTCCTACCGCACCCGAGGTGGGCAGAGTTACTGGGAGAGCTGCCTCCTCTGCATTTTCCCCCAAGGGGCCTCTGGGGGGCTCCCTAAACCACTGCCTGCAAGCTAAATCCCAAATCCCTGGGAAGAGACTCACCCACAAGACCAGAAAACTGGGGGAAGAAACAGCAAGTGAACTGTCCCCTGGGGCAGAGCCAAGCCTGAGCAGAATTAGGAAAGAGGCAAGATGGGTATTTGCAATGGCGCCCCCTCGTATCCCCAGAGCAGCAACTAGAACAAGCCACCATTGCTCATTCCCTGGGAGAGCTCTCTGCTGTGTCATGCCCTGCTGGTTGTAAGTCATATAACCCAAGCTCTGCCCTGTATTTTTCCTTCTAGATAAAGCAATTAAAATGTACAGTGCCCGATACAAAGCCACCAAAAGCACCCTTCAATAGGGAAAGATGTGAATCTGACCCACCCCAACCCAATAGAACCCTGGCCAGTTGCACAGGGACAAAGTCACCCCAGCTATGCCATTTCCTCTTCCTCTTCAGAAGGAGGGATCCTGGGGAGGAATTCCAAAGGGTAAACTTGGCACTGGGCCTGGGAACATTCTGCATTGGAGGGAGGGAGAGGGGAGGCTGTGCTTGGGAGCAGTGGGTGACCCTGACTGCCTTGGTTATTCTGCTAGATGGAGAAGGACCAATTCACCACGGCGTGTGCTCCTCCTGGCTCAACCGGATACAGGCTGACGAAGTGGTCCCCTGTTTCGTGAGGGGGTGAGTAAGAAGTGGAGAAAAATGAGCGATCGTCTCAAGTCTGCACATTGATGTTGCAAGTTGGGTTAGGTGGGCCAGTCTGAAGGGTTCTAGAGAGATGGCTGGGTGAGACAGGAGGAAGACCAGTGTCCCGAATCTCTCTTAGTTGTTACGGAAGGGAGATGAGACTAGCACAGTGAGCTAGGCAAGTCCTCTGGTCAATGTCAAGTCAATGCAACACACATTTATCTTGGGCATGTACTGGGCCAGATGCTGGAGCTATCGTAGAAAACCTGGCAAATACAGTCTCCACCATCGTGGACTTTATGGCCTAGTGGAAATTCTAGCCAAATTCTACTGGTCAGTCCCGATCAGTCCCAGTCTCCTAGAGGTGGGAGAAATCTAATCACCCCCATTAATTGGAGCTTTCCTCCCGAAACTCAGTTTTAAAGGCTACAGCTGAGCCTAGAGTTAACCTGTTCTGTTGATCATTAACTTCTCTACCTGAAGAGCGGCTTTGGCCCATCATTTCTCTCATCCGTTGAGGTTAGAATGTTCACAATACCGTTGATAATGATCTAAATACCATTGGCATCAGAGTTCTCGGGGGTGTTTCAGGCATAGAGTCCTGAGCGCAGATGTACTGCATGGCCCAGGAATCTGCACCTTGAACGTCTCCAGGTGATTCTTTTATGCACTGAAGTCTGTGACTGCTTGATTCAAAGACCTCATGGTTGATTAAATCAGTGGCTCTGGGCTGGGCGCAGTGGCTCAGGCCTGTAATCCCAGCACTTCTGGAGGCCAAGGCAGGCAAATCAGTTGAGGTCAAGAATTCAAGACCAGCCTGGCCAACATGACGAAACTCCATCTCTACTAAAATACAAAAAAAGCAGCCGGGCGTGGTGGCACACGCCTGTAATTCCGGCGACTTGGGAGGCTGAGGCAGGAGAATCACTTGAACCTGAGAGGAGGAGGTTGTGGTGAGCCGAGATCATGCCACTGCACTGTAGCCTGGATGAGAGAGCAGCCTCTGTCAGAAAAAGACGAGGGGTCGGGGGAGGGGCCGGCAAAAAAAAAAAAAAAAAAGAGGGAGAGAAGGGGAGGGGAGGGAAGGGAAGAGGATGGAAGGAAAGTGACTCAAATCAGAGTGATTTTTGCACCACCCCACACCTGCCACCCAGGGACATCTGACAATGTATGAAGACATTTTGGGTGTCACAGCTCATGTGTGCTCCTGGCATCTAGTGGGTGGAAGCCGGGGATGCGGCTCAAGACCCTACAATGCAAGGACAGTGCTACGACAAAGGAGTGTCGCCCCCAAGTGACAGTAGTGCTAATGTAGATAAACTCTGGGTTGAAGTTGCTGAGCTCAGCAGTGAGAAGACTTGGGGCATGGAGGAATAGCCAGACCCTAGGGACTCCCCATTTTTGGAATTCCCCTAATCGGTGAGACTCCCACCCTGAAAAGGGATACCTGGCCCCGGCTGAAGAGCCGGAAGTCTCATTGTATGTCTGCTGAAGATGGCCACCTGGTCTACCTGATTCAATTGTTCTTGATCGGATTTGAGCTCTGCAAGACTTCTGACCCCCTCTTCCTTGCCCAGAGCACCCAGCTTCCACCTGCCCCGGAACCCCCAAGTCCCCTGCATCCTTGTTGGACCAGGCACCGGCATTGCCCCTTTCCGAAGCTTCTGGCAACAGCGGCAATTCGATATCCAACACAAAGGTGGGTTACAGTCCGGGGCCACTGGGTTCCCACCCCAGACCTGGGGAGGCCCAGCTGTGTCTCAGCAGCCCCGGAGAACAGTGAAGGTGTCTCTCCTTGGCCTCCCTGCCTCAGAAAAGGTGGGCATGTCGCACCAACCTGCCCCACAGGTGAAGTTCATGGTGTCATCCAAACAACCTGTCCCAGAGCCTGAAATTCCATCCCCAGAGAACATTTCTTTGATTGTTAAGATGTGATCCCTTCAAAAAAAAATCAATATCCTGGAAAAGATAGTCATTAGTCCTTATCAAATGGTTATGCTTATATAACTGTTGCAAAGACTTATTCAAGAGCAAGTGCTATAGCAAGTCGGCTTTGGGAGGAGAGAGAGGAAGAGAAACCCAAATCGTGGCATGCATTAAACAGGGATTTATTGCGCACCTAGTAAGTGACAAACACTGTAAGAGGCCCTGGGGGCAGAGCAGTGAATAAGACAGAAAAATAGCTAAAATAGAAATGAAAACCTTTCCATTGATCTGAGGAATGATTACAAAATATCAGTCAGTAAAAACTTGCCCCATGGAACCGTGATTCCAGGGGAATAGCTAACATTTATAAAGTACTTGCCAGGTACCAGGCAGGGTTGTAATGTTTCACATTCATTTCTCCCGACAGCCTTGTTATTTCCATTTTGCAAATAGGGAAGCAGAGGCTTAGAAAGTTGAGTACGTTGGTGGCTCAGGCCTGTAATCCCAGCACTTTGGGAGGCCGAGGCAGGCAGATCATGAGGTCAGGAGTTTCAGACCAGCCTCGCCAACATGGTGAAACCACGTCTCTACTAAAAATACAAAAACTTAGCCAGGCATAGTGGCAGATGCCTGTAACCCCAGCTATTTGGGAAGCTGAGGCAGGAGAATCACTTGAACCTGGGAGGTGGAGGTTGCAGTGAGTCGAGATTGCACCATTGCACTCCAGCCTGGGTGACAGAGAGAGACTGTCTCAAAAAAAAAAAAGTTGAGTATGTTGTGGCTGGGCACAGGGGCTCACACCTATAATCACAGCACTTTGGAAGGCTGAGGTAGGTGGATTAGTTGAGGTCAGGAGTTCAAGACCAGCCTGGCCAATATGGTGAAACCCTGTCTCTACTCACCTCCTTCCTCAGTGTGTGCATGTGCGTGCATGTGAGCAGCTGTGCACGTTACATGTGTGTGCACGCATACATCTGCCTGCCCCAGTGTTCGTGAGACTCTATCTGCATGGCACACACTAAGTTCCCAGCACCCCATCCCTGGCACCTCAGCCACCCCACACTTCAGGCAGAGAGCCACCGGTGACATGAGGTCTTCCTGGTCCCCAGGAATGAACCCCTGCCCCATGGTCCTGGTCTTCGGGTGCCGGCAATCCAAGATAGATCATATCTACAAGGAAGAGACCCTGCAGGCCAAGAACAAGGGGGTCTTCAGAGAGCTGTACACCGCCTACTCCAGGGAGCCAGACAAACCAAAGGTAACCCCCAGCCCATTCACAGCCCCCCACACATGCACACTGGTACACACATGCAACAGCCCAACACACATGCACACTGGTACACACTCGTGTGTGTACACACTTCCACATCCCACTTAGAAACCCCTCACCTTCACTCTCAAGCTTCCTCATCTCCCCTCTATGAATTTCTCTGTGCTTCAGAAAGCATGAGTGGGGAAAATATCTATGTAAAATATTTAATAGGCCGAGTGCAGCGGCTCACACCTGTAATCCCAACACTTTGGGAGGCCAAGATGGGTGGATCACTTGAGGTCAGGAGTTCGAGACCAGCCTGGCCAACATGGTGAAACCCCATCTCAACTAAAAATGCAAGCATCAGCCAGGCATGGTGGTGCACACCTGTAGTTCGAGCTACTTGGTAGGCTGAGGCAGGAGAATCGCTTGAACCTGGGAGGAGGAGGTTCCAGAGAGTTAAGATTGTACCACTGCACTCCAGTCTGGGTGACATAGCAAGACTCTATCTCAAAAATGTATATACAATAAAATAAAATATTTAACAGCCTATATTATAAGATTCAACTTATATGTAATATCCAGAATAGGCAAATCTATAGAGACAGAGAGTTGATTCGTGGTTGCTGGGGCTGAGGGCGGGGAAAGTGGGGTGACTGCCGATGGGTGTGGGGTTTCCATCGGGTAAAGGAAAAACTTCTGGAACCAGATAGTGATGATCCCTTAACACTGAGAAGGGTACTTAATGCCACTGAATTGTACACTTTAAAGTGGTTACAATGGTAAATGTTACATGACGTGTATTTTACCATAATGTAAATGTTTGGCCGGGTGCAGTAACTCACATCTGGAATCCCAGCACTTTGGTAGGCTGACGTGGGAGGATCACTTGAGTCTGGGAGTTTAAGACCAGCCTGGGCAACATACTGAGTCCCCATCTCTGCAAAACAGACTTTTTTTTTTTTTTTTTTTTTTTTTTGAGATGGAGTTTTGCTCTTGTCACCCAGGCTGGAGTGCAATGGTATGATCTCGGCTCACCGCAACCTCCGCCTCCTGGGTTCAGGCAATTCTCCTGCTTCAGCCTCCTGAGTAGCTGGGATTACAGGCACGTGCCACCATGCCCAGCTAATTTTTGTATTTTTAGTAGAGACAGGGTTTCACCATGTTGACCAGGATGGTCTCGATCTCTTGAACTCGTGATCCACCCGCCTCAGCCTCCCAAAGTGCTGGAATTACAGGCTTGAGCCACCGCGCCTGGCATACAAAATAGATTTCTAAGTTAGCTGGGCGTGGTGGCGTGGAAACCCCATACCCATCTGCAGTTGGGACTTCGGTCCCAGCCGTCTGGGAGGCAAGAGGGGAGAGCAGCTCGAGCCTGGGAGGTCAGGGCGGCAGTGAGCTGTGATCGCGCCACTGCACTCCAGCCTGGGCAACAGACCAAGACTCTGTCTCTAAAAAATAAATAATTAGAAAAAAATTAAAAATATTTAAAAACAAATTTTAAAAAATAAATTTCAGCCAGGTGTAGTGGCTCAAACCTGTAATCTCAGCACTTTGGGAGGCCAAGGTGGGCAGATCATTTGAGGTCAGGAGTTTGAGACCAGCCTGGCCAATATGGTGAAACCCAATCTCTAATAAAAATATAAATATATGCTGGGCACAGTGGCACATGCTTGTAGTCCCAGCACTTTGGGAAGCTGACGTGGGTGGATCACTTGAGGCCAGGAGTTTGAGACCAGCCTGGCCAACATGTGAAATCCCATCTCTACTAAAAATACAAAAAAATTAGCAAGGTATGGTGGTGCATGCCTGTAGTCCCAGCTACTCAGGAGGCGGAGACAGGAGGATGGCTTGAACGCGGGAGGCAGAGGTTGCAGCAAGCTAAGATCATGCCACTGCACTCCAGCTGGGCAACAAGCGAGACTCTGTCTCAAAAATAAAACACAATAATAAAGATAAACAAACATCATAGTCCGTAAGAGGCAATACCAATGAGAATGGACACGGGCCACAGGACTAAAGCTCCCATTGGATCTTGGGGAGCTCTGGGGGTCCCAGCGAAGGAGCCAGGACGACTGAGGTGGAGGGGGGCACTCAGAGAGTCCAGGCAGTGTCTATTTGACAACTGGGGTGGGAGTACATCAGTCTTAAGAGTCACTACAGCCACGCCAGCATGTTCCAGCTGAATATCAGCTTCATGGGGGAGTTTCCTGGAGAAGCTAAAGATGTCCTGAGCAAACCAGTTCCCTAGAGCTGCACTAGACACCCTCTGTGCCCACCTAATACCCTCTTACCCACCTTTTCTTCTTGCTGCCGTTAGAGCAGCCGGCTTTGCAGAAGTGGAAGCTGGTGGCTCCTCCCCTCACCTGCATCTCTTGCTATCTGCCCAGGGCTTCCCCGGCACCCTAGCATAGGATGCTTGCAGTAACCAGCTGCACACCCAGAAGTGTACAGGTGTTAACACCTGTTGACCACTGGCCACCAGGAGAGAAGAGTGGGTAGTGGATGCTCCCCACCTTTCCCCTCTGCAGGGGATGACTCTGGGAAGCAGGCTATACAGCTCCCCGGAGGGTCCTGGGCAGAGCTGAGCTTCAGTTGTCTAAACAGTGGAGCAATGCATGCCTGCACCCTCCAAGTGGCTTTCACGCCTTCCCTATCTCACTCTTCCCAGTCCCTCATTCTTGTTCCCTGGGATCAGCTCACAAAAGATCCCACCTGCCCACAAGCCCCTGAATAAGGTTCTGCTTCCCAGGGGGATGTGGGCTATGGCGGGCACATTGCACAGCCCAGCCCCTTCTCACTGCCCTCTGCTCCCTGCAGAAGTACGTGCAGGACATCCTGCAAGAGCAGCTGGCGGAGTCTGTGTACCGAGCCCTGAAGGAGCAAGGGGGCCACATTTACGTCTGTGGGGACGTCACCATGGCTGCTGATGTCCTCAAAGCCATCCAGCGCATCATGACCCAGCAGGGGAAGCTCTCGGCGGAGGATGCTGGCGTGTTCATCAGCCGGATGAGGGTGCGTGACAGGCTGGTGTCCCAGGTCCCTTTTCCCAAATCCACTTTACTGTCTTGATGCTGAGGGGAGCCATGATGATATCCCTGCTGCTGTTCATTGCATTTGCCACTGAGGATAGAGGATGTAGGTGGCCCCAAACAATGACAGGGAAAGTAGAAGGATGCTAGGCATGCAGGCAGGTGTAGTAAATATGATGGGAGGCTGTGGTACATGAAAATAATGAGGGAGTGGACCTCTGGGTAGCTACACAGAAACCATTCTAACCCAACTTCTCTTGCCCCAGAAGCTGCACAAAGAGATCCGAGAACTGTGGAGCCCTCTATCTACTCAGCCTCTTTAGTGTGACCCTCAAGAGCCACTTTTACAGATTCCCCAGGATTTTGCAGAAGAGTTAAAAACTCAACCCAGCCGGGTGCAGTGGCTCATGCCTGTAATCCCAGCACTGTGGGAAGCCAAGGCAGGCAGATTGCCTGAGGTCAGGAGTTCGAGACCAGCCTGACTAACATGGTGAAACCCTGTCTCTTCTAAAAATGCAAAAATTAGCCGAGCATAGTGGCAGGCACCTGTAGTCTCAGCTACTTGGGAGGCTCAGGCAGGAGAATCGCTTGAACCCAGGAGGCAGAGGTTACAGTGAGCCAAGATGGCGCCATTGCCCTCCAGCCTGGGTGACGAGAATGAAACTCCATCTCGAAAAAAAAAAAAAAAAACGTACCCCAACTGAAAACAAACCCACTCTACAGATGAGTGACTTTCTTCAAAATCTTCTGGACTAAGGGAGGCTGGAACCTAGTGCATGATTGTGCCTGGCTGGCCAGACACTCCCAACCTCAGCATCGAGACGCATTTTTCCCTTGTTTGATCCTCAAAGACACTGGCCTTTGAGAATGTTGACTGCCCGCCAAAGGAGCTCCCATAGCTTGGTAAATTCTCAGATGTCGCAAGTCAGTCGGCCCTTGGGTCGTTTCTGAGACTCCAGGGGAGGTTATTCTGTTTCTGTGCTTCTTTCTTGGCAACGTTGAGCAGAGATGCTCATCTCCAGAGAAACTCATGCATGTCCCAGGCGTCTCCACGGTGGGCAGCTGTGGGGAGTTCCCTGAGTGCTAAGTGGCCACCGGTTCTTTCCTCCCCTTTCTTCTGGTCTCCTAGGCTATGGCATTTCATACTAAACCCAGCCTTCCCCAGACCTGAACTTGCAGAAGCAGGTTGGAGGGAGGAAAGCGGGGAATGGTGAGGTTTCCATTTGACCTCGTCGCTCCTTTTCACCTGAGAATCCAGTGAGTAGCAGCGGTGTTTCCAGATGGCAACCTAATTGCTCTTTGCCAACTGGGCCACGTCCCAGAGAATAGTTGCCCTGTGTCCCAGAGGACAGTTTTGCTGAGCAGAGTCTTAGAGATCAAAGGTACCTCGGGGACACTGGCTTCAGCCTCATCTCTCTAGGAATCATCTTCCTTAGGCACCTTCCATTCCAGGCGTCAGGTGAGTCTGCCCCCCTCTCCAAGCCCTTGTCTGCCATTTGAGAGCTGTTTTCTGGATGTTTCTGTCTTCCAGGATGACAACCGGTACCATGAGGATATTTTCGGAGTCACCCTGCGCACGTATGAAGTGACCAACCGCCTTAGATCTGAGTCCATTGCCTTCATTGAAGAGAGCAAGAAAGATACCGACGAGTAAGCTGGCTTCACCCCTGGGCGAGGGGCGGGAAGAGCCCTCTCTTCTAGGTCCTAACGGGCAGGGATGTCTGGCTTTCCCATGCTGGGGTCCTCAAAACAGCAGCATCAGCACCATCTGAGGATGTGTTCAAAATGCAAATTCCCAGGCTCCCCCAGGCCTGCTGGATCTGAAACTCGGGAGACAGGATGCAGCCGTTTGCATTTTTCTTTCTTTTCTTTTTTTCTTTTATTTTCAAGATGGAGTCTCGCTCTGTCACCCAAACTAGAGTGCAGTGGCGTGATCTCAGCTCACTGCAACCTCCGCCGCCCGGGTTCAAGCGATTCTCCTGCCTTCCAAGTAGCTGGGACTACAGGTGCATACCATCACGCCTGGCTAATTTTTATATTTTCAGTAGAGACAGGGTTTCACTGAGTTAGCCAGGATAGTCTCCATCTCCTGACCTCCTGATCAGCCCACCTTGGCCTCCCAAAGTGCTGGGATCACAGGCGTGAACCACCATGTACGGCCAGCAGTTGGCATTTCAAGGAATTCTTCAGGGGAGTCCTGAGGCCCCATCCAATGTGGGAGGGAACCGCTGCTTTGGGTGCCGCCTTCTGTCTGGGTCACCCACTAGTGAATGGCTCTTGCATCTGGGAAGTTGCATCTTTTTTTTTTTTTTTGAGACAGTCTTGCTCTGTCATCCAGGCTGGAGTGCGGTAACACAGTCTCAACTCACTGCATCCTCCACCTCCCAGGCTCAAGCGATTCTCATGCCTCAGCCTCCTGAGTAGCTGGGACTACAGGTACCACCACACCTGGCCAATTTTTGTATTTTTAGTAGAGAAGGGGTTTCGCCATGTTGGCCAGGCTGGTCTCGAACTCCTGACCTCAAGTGATCTGCTTGCCTCGGCCTCCCAAAGTGCTGGAATTATAGGTGTGAGCCACCACACCCAGCCGGATCTGTGACATTTCTATCAGAAAAATCTTTCTTGTTTGTTTGGTTTTTACCTGTTGGGGTTTAGTATCAGATTCAGGGCCAGGGTTTCTTCTACAAAAGTGTTTGAACGCTGCTCATTTAGGAAAGTGGGGAGAAGAATGAGCTCACCCCTGGAGCTGTATGGAGGTCTGGCACTCAGTTTTTGTGTCCTTTCCGCTGGCTTCCTCACCCCTTAAATGGCTGGGGCTTTCTTGTCAACGCAAATTACAATTCATATGATTTTGACAATTTCACTGAACCTCTAGAAATTGCTGAAAACAGGCTGAGGCTCCAGGAGACTGGGACTGCATCTTATGAACTTGAATTCCAAGGCACAGCATCCTTGACTGTGATCTCACTTCCCAGTGCTCCCTGCCCCAGTCCCTACCAAAGGACACCTGGAAACCACCCCCCTATGCCCTTTACTTTAAATTAGGTGGAGATTCAGCTGTCTCTTTTTTCAGTAGCACAAGGCATACCCTCATTTCCTAAATTTGGTATCTTGTTTGTTTTCTCCTTACAATGACACAGCAGTCTCAAAAACATACTGTTGTGGCCAGAAGACTTACGTCATTGCCTTTAAGGTCACAACTCCCTGAGTTGTCCAAAGCCTTTAAGGCCAGATGTGGTGGCTCATGCCTATACCCCCAGCACTTTGGGAAGCTGAGGTGGGTGAATCACTTGAGCCCAGGAGTGCACGATCAGCCTGGGCAACGTAGGGAGATGCTGTCTCTACAAATAATTTAAACATTAGCAGGGCATGGTGGCACGTGTCTGTGGTCCCCACTACTTGGGAGGCTGAAGCAGGAGGATGGCCTCAGCCCAGGGAGGTGAAGGCTACATGAGGCATGATTGCACCACTGCACCCCAACGTAGGCAACAGAGCAAGACCCTGTCTCAAAAAAAAAAGCCTTTTTAGCCAGGTACAGTGACTCACACCTGTAATCAGCACTTTGGGAGGCCAAGGTGGGTGGATCACTTGGCCTAGGAGTTCAAGACCAGCGTGGGCAACATGGCAAAACCCTGTCTCTACTAAAAACAAAAAAATGAACCAGGCATGGTAGCATGTGCCTGTAATCCCAGCTATTCAGGAGGCTCAGGTGCAAGAATTGCTTGATCACACCACTACACTTCAGCCTGGGCGACAGAGTGAGACTCAGTCTCAAAAAAAGAAAAAAAATACCTTTTTAAATGTTTCTCTTCCTGACCAGTTGTCTTTGTGAGCATTCATTCATTTATTCATTCATTCTTTCAAAACCAGCCCCTGCTAGGTGCCAGGTCCTGTCCAAGACACTAGGGCTACAGAATAAACGAAAGAGACAGGCCAGGCCCAGCAGCTCAAGCCTGTAATCTCAGCACTTTGGGAGGCTGAGGCAGACAGATCACCTGAGGCCAGGAGTTCAAGACCAGCCTGGCCAACATGGTGAAACCCCCATCTCTACTAAAAATACAAAAAGTAACCAGGCATGGTGGTGGACACCTGTAATCCCAGCTACTTGGGAGACTAAGGCAGGAGAATCGCTTCAAACTTGCTGAGGTTCCGTGAGAGGTGGAGGTTGCAGTGAGCCAGGATGGCGCCACTGCACTCCAACCTGGGCAACAGAGCAAAGCTCCATGTCAAAAAAAAAAAAAAAAAAGGGAGAGAGAGAGAGAGAGATGAAGCCCCTGAGCCCAGAGCATGGGTGATTTGCCCTGGGGCACTCAGAGGAAACACAGCAGCCTCGCCCCTGCAGCACTAACTCCCCTCCAACCTCTCTCTCCTCCCACAGGGTTTTCAGCTCCTAACTGGACCCTCTTGCCCAGCTGACTGCAGGTTTTGTAAGCGCAGACTGACACTGCTGAACCTTTCCTCTGGGACCCCGCGTGGCCCTCGCTCTGCCTCCCGTCCTTGTCGCTGTGCCCTGGTTTCCTTCGTCCGGGTTCTCGCCCCTCAGTGGTTTCCTCGGCCCTCCTGGGTTGATTTCAGAGTTTTCCTGCTGCAATGTGATGCTTTTCTAATCTGCAGTGGCTCTTACAAAACTCTGTTCCTGCCCCCTCTCTTGCTGACAAGGGCAACTAACGGGTGCATGAAACCACTGGAACATGGCCGTCGCTGTGGGGGTTTTTTTCTCTGGGGTTCCCCTGGAAAGGCTGCAGGAACTAGGCACAAGCTCTCTGAGGGAGTCCCTCAGCCACAAAAGTCCCCCCTTCCCCTTTTTTATGATGACGTTTTTGGTCGTGCGTGTGTATGCCTGTGTGTGATGGGCCAGGTCTGTCCGTTCTCTTCCCTGCGCAAGTATGTCAACCTTAGATCTCCACCTCTTTCACTGAAGACCCTCGAGGCCAAGAAACATGTCCCTGGCCCACATTAATCCCTCAAGTGTCCATAATTAAGGGTCCACGCCCATGTACCTGAAACGTGTGGAAGCCCAGTAATTGTTCTGGTTAGAAAGGGTTCAGGGCATGGAGGGAGGAGTAGGAAATTGATTAAGGGGCTATCTCCCAACGAAAGGGGCAGTCCCAGAATTTGATGCATTTAGATTCTGAGACCAGTGAGCAGAGCCCTCACGTGACGTGAACCCATCTAATGGATGGGGTGAGTCCCCTCCCCAAACCCACCCATCCCACCAGAATCACTTGACTTGGCCACATCCACTGACTGCCCCATCCTCCAGCAATACCATCCAAGGGACCCGGAAGTTATGTTGTTCAAAGAAGCCTGGATCTTCCTGCTTTGCCACTGGGTGATTTTGGATGAGTCACTTGTCCTCAGTTTTTCCTAGTCATAATGAATCTAAAGAATATGAATGAATAGGCCGGGTGCAGTGGTTCACGCCTATAATCCTAGCACTTTGGGAGGCCGAAATGGGTGGATCACCTGAGGTCAGGAGTTCGAGACCAGCCTGACCAACATGGTAAAACCCCGTCTCTACTAAAAATACAAAAATTAGCTGGGCGTGGTGACGCATGCCTATAATCCCAGCTACTTGGGAGGCTGAGGCAGAAGAATCGCTTGAACTTGGGAGGCGGAGGTTGCCTCCCAAGTGAACCAGGATGGCGCCATTGCACTCCAGCCTAGGCAACAAGAGTGAAACTCTTATCTCCAAAAAGAATATAAATGGATTAAATGTTAAAGCTTTGATGCCTGGAAACAATATCAAGTAACTATATGATTGTTAGTTTTTTATTCCCCCAAAGGGGGCTTGCTGCTTTACCCCTGGGGGTGAAATAACAAGCTGGTTAAAGTGCATGAGATTGAAGATGGGAAGAACGTGGCCCTCGGGCTTCTTGCCCTCTGCACTTGATCTCCAAAGCTTTAAACCTGTTAAAGTAATTTTGACAAATAAATTACCCTCAACTCAGATCAAAAAATGGGCAGCCAAGTCTTCAGTAGGAATTGGGGCCGGTGCAATTTCTCCCTAAGAAGCAACCTGCTGAATTTACTCTCTCAGGATGAATGCTGGGAAGGGATCCCTTTCTATAATTAAATGCTACAAATTAACATCAGGTGGTGCCCAGAAAGAGCGAAGAAATGCTAGTGGCCACCCCAGATTACAGGGTCCCCAAGGATGCAAAGGGAATGTTGTATCAGTTCTACCCTGTTTGTTGTGTTCCGTACAGAAAACCACATCTCTTTTATGTACTATGTGTGGGCATATCTTGGCGTTAGTGTGGGTCCCTGCTAAAGAGGAAGTGCACTGGCCCCTTTGAAAGGGCTTTACAATGGGGGCACCAAGATCCCAAAGGGCCCGACCTAGGAGACTGCTGAAGTGAAAAGGCAATCTATGTCTTACCTTCCCCTACCATCCCTGGCAGCCCCCACTGCTGTCCCATTCCTGGCACATGGAGTTTGACTTCATGCCAGCTGTAATCTCCCCTCCCTTCCTTTAATCCCAATTTCCCCTGCTCAGCCTTCCACAGACATAAAGAACAAACATTCAGCAACCCACACTAACCCTTTCTATCCTGAAGGAAAGCCCATTCTAAACTTCTTTCCTGCAGGGCACAGTAGCTCACTCCTGTAATCTCAGCACATTGGGAGGCTGAGGCAGGCAGATCACCCGAGGTCAGGAGTTCAAGACCAGCCTGGCCAACATGGTGAAACCCTGTCTCTACTAAAAATACTAAAGTTGCTGGGTGTACAGGTATGTGCCTGTAATCCTAGCTTCTAGGGAGGCTGAGGCAGGAGAATTGCTTGAACCCAGGAGGCAGAGGTTACAGTGAGATGAGATGGTGCCATTGCACTTCAGCCTGGGCAATAGAGCGAGACTCCATCTCAAAAAAAATTAGTCAAATAAATACCTTTCCTGCAAACCCAATTCCAGCTCCTACTAGCTCTTCTCCCAAAGGCGTTGTTTCCAATCCTTTATACCTTTGGAGACACGTGCCAATTTCCCCGGGGAAGGAAACTGCTGTGTCCAATCCCCATCAAACAGAAATTGATCAGTGCTTCCCACTCCAAGTCAAGCTTTATGCAGGAATGCTTCTCCATCAGGGAATAAATACTTAGAAGAGGTTACCATGTGCGAGGCACCTCCTTTCTGCATATCCCTGCCCTTCTAGTAGCAGACAGATGGAAACATTGTCTTGTTTAGTCAAGGAATCCAAAGAAATGATTATATAACCACGATTCATCTTTCTTCTCCAGAAAGATTTTTTTTTAAGTAAACACCTTTCAATCCCCAATACAGGCTGCTTCACAACTCCAGGCTAGAAGGCAGGAGAGTGATCTGATGTGTTTCTTTCATTTGCCAGAATTCCCACCAAAAGCCCCTTTCTGTTGAGTAACCTATCAAGGACCAGAGTGAGTCCAGATTTATTTAGCTCAGATCCAGGGTGGAGAAATACTGCCCTCTCGTGGTGGCTTTTCATCCAGGCCTTGTAGCCAACAATAACTGCAAAATAGTATTAAGCAATGGATGAGCAAAATAGGGTTGACTGGGTATCTGGGGGTTATTCAAGTTATGGCCCATTTATTTCCCTCTTGCCCTTGAACTGGCCTGTAGCAGCTCCAACCCCATTTCACAAAAGTGAGTTTGGCCGGGAGGAATGAGACATCTCCTGAAATAGCATCGGAACATGACGCCCGCCTGCCATCACTGTGAATCCAGTTCCCACACCTGTGTCATGAACGAGCAGGGGGGCGATAGTTAAACTCCTTGGGAGGAGAGAGGGCTTCCCTTGGTTTCCCTGGAGTGAGATAGCCAGGTGTCTTTCTTTTGCAGGGGGGATGCTTCAGACCCACCAAAATGGAATTTTGGGAGCCGACCTGAGTGCAAATCCTAATTCCACCCCTGTTGGTGTAGATGGCTGTGGGCTGCTCCTTTGGCCTTTTAGAGTCTACATACCCATCTGTGTAACAAGGCAGATTAAGTGAGATAATGCCCACAAAATGCCCAGTATAGTGCCTGGTTCAGAAGTTACTGCATTTTAATTTTTCACTTGACTTATGGTACGTCTTGCTTCTCCAATGTGTGGAAGGTATCGGGGAGTGTGTAGAGATAAGTAAAACACTGTTCCTCTTTTGTAGAAGGTTAGAATCCTTTTTTTTTTTTTTTTTTTTTTTTTAGAAAGAGTCTTGCTCTGTTACCCAGGCTGGAGTACAGTGGTGCGATCTCAGCTCACTGCAATCTCCACCTCCCAGGTTCAAGCAATTCTCCTGCCTCAGCCTCCTGAGTATCTGGGATTACAGGTGTCCACTACCATGCCTGGCTAATTTTTGTAGTATTAGTAGAGGCGGGATTTCACCATGTTGGCCAGGCTGGTCTCAAACTCCTGACCTCAAATGATCCACATACCCCAGCCTCCCAAAGTTCTGGGATTGCAGGCATGAGCCACCGCGCTCAGCCAAAGGTTATGGTCTGATGAAGAGAGACACCAGAATTGACATAGATTTCCAGGGTTTGAGAAATGGGTAGGATTTCACTGGTAGCTTCTGGAAGATAAGAGTTGGCCAGGAATTAGGAAGAGTGACAGGAAAGGTATGGGCGGGGAGCATGTCAGATAAATTGGAGCTGGCTTTGGAAGACTGAGGAGGGCGAGGAAAGGTAGGCTGGGACCAGACAGTGGGGAGAGGTGAGTGGCATCACAAGAAATTTAGACTTTATTCAACAGGCAACAGGGAGTCCCTAAGAGTGTTTTTCAAAAGAGGACATTAAGGCAATTGGAGTTAAGCTTGAAAAAGAAAGCTCTGGCCACAGTATGGAGCATGGTCCGTTGAGCTGTTGGGGGTTATTGCTGCAGCCAAGGCTTGAGTGAGGGAAGAGGCAGATGGAGTGATAAAGAGACTCCAGGAACTAAATCAACGTACCTGGCCCCCATCCATTGTGGAGGGTGAGAACAAAGGAGAAATTAAAACATCTTGCAGTCTGGGCATGGTAGTTCATGTCTGTACTCCCAGCGCTTTGAGGCCGAGGTGCGCATATCAGTTGAGGTCAGGAGTTCGAGACCAGCCTGGCCAACATGGTGAAACCCCAACTCTACTAAGAAAATACAAAAATTAACCAGGCATATTGGCATGGTTAATTGCCTACTTGGGAGGCTGGGGCAGAAGAATCGCTTGAGCCCAGGAGGTAGAAGCTACAGTGAGCCAAGATTGTACCACTGCACTCCAGCCTGGGCAACAGAGCAAAACTCCATCTTAAAAATAAAATAAAACAAAACAAAACACTTTGCCCCTAGCTGAGAGAGAGGTCTCCGAAGAGCAGGCTCAGGGAAAAGATGACTTTTCAGTGCTGATGTGATAGCCAGCTTCTCTGGAGTCAAGGGGGTGAATCCTTCCCAAGTCCAGCCATGCCTAGATGCCCAGAAGGAAAACTGACCCCCAGCCAGTAGACATTAGCTAAGAACACGGAATATTCTGGCCAAACACACTTTCAGCAGCTGCGTGCTTTGGACTTTGAAAGAAGTCAGATTTTGCCCTAAGCTCAAAACAAGTGAGAGATCTGACCTAGCTCATGGGGCAAATGGTCCTAATGGGATAAGCAACCCAGATGCCTGATCCCTTCACACCTACAGCACTAGTGCCTAATGCAGCCTTTTCATTCATGCCATTAGGAAATCCATGGACTTATCGCCTGTGTTTTAAGTCAGCCATGTTTCCTTGTATATTTCCCTCTCCGCTGCCCCAGATACCCAGCATGCCACTGTGGCCGCCATGTCCTCAAAGCCTTCTGTCTGTTACAGGAAGGTAGTCTGCAACTGCCAGGAAGGAACAAGGAGGGAGGAACTCTCACTAGGCTTCCCTTATAACATATTCATACTCTCTGGCTGTTCTCAAACTGAAGTCTCCTGCATCCAAATGTCCTCTCTGGCTCAAATATTAGGCCAGACATGGTGGCTCATGCCTATAATCTCAGCACTTTATGGGAGGCTGAAATGGGAGGATCACTTGAGGCCAGGAGTTTGAGACCAGCCTGGGCAACATAGCAAAATCCCACTGCTATAAAAAAAACTTAAAAAAAAAAAAATGAGCTGGGCATGGTGGCTGCTCCTGTAGTCCCAGCTACTTGGGAGGCTGAGGCAAGAAGATCACTTGATCCCAGGAGTTCGAGGCCACGGTGAGCTAGGATCACACCACTGCACTCCAGCCTGGGTGAAAGGGTGAGACCCTGTCTCTAAGAAAAATTAAAAAGACCAGGAGCTGAGATTGAGGAAACACAGGTCTGAAGGACAGAGGGACAGGTCTGAAGTCCCGCCTCCTAGGGACTCAACACAGATATTCCCCATGAACAGGGATTTGCCCTTTTGGGGCCAACCTGTCCCTTCCTCAGCCCTTTATCTCATACCCCCTATTCTTGGCCCACTGCCAATCTCTGCCTTGTGGCAAAAGGACCCCAGAAGAAAAGCTGCCCCTCCCCAGATGTAAGGAGCCAGGTACACTTTCACCCATGACAAGCAGTGTCTGTTGAGGGCCTGTTTCCTATTAATACTTACCAAAGCCACGTGCGGGGGAGGTGGTCAAATGTCAGTATGCCTTAGTATGTTTATATGAGTTCGTTTTGTTTTGGAATATCCGAACAGTTCTGGTCAAGCGGGACTTTGCCTGTCTCTTCCAAAACACAGTCCATTACCGATGAGATGGCCCTGCAGGCAGGAACAGATCTGCCTCAATGCACTGCTTCCTGTAGTCTTTTAGAAAATGATTGCAGGACAGCAAGTGCCCAGATTTGACGCCAAAGTTCTAGGAGACTCTAGCGCAGTCTGTCGACCTCAGCACCACTGGTCTTTGGGGTTGGATAATTTTTTCTTGTGGGGGCCATCGTGGGCTCTGTGGGAAGCTGAGCAGCATTCCTGGCCTCCACCCACTAGATGCCCGTAGCAATGCCCTCTGAATGGTGACAATCAAATATGTTATGAGACATTGCCCAACGTCCCCCGGGGGCAACACCCCCTCTCTTGGACTTCGGGGGCCAGAAAATCTCTGCTGACTGCCCAGGACTTCTCATTACAGAGTTCCTGGAGCGAGCAGCAGAAACTTTGCTTAGCCCAGAGGTTGTTTCCTTTATCTGCTGCCAAACTGAGATTTGAGGATATCGGGGGCCAGGGCATAGGGAGGGCAGAATGCTTTCAAAAACTCCTCCCAGGCCGGGTATAGTGGCTCACGCCTGAAATCCAAGCACTTTGAGAAGCTGAGCAGGTGGATCACTTGAGGCCGGGAGTTCGAGACCAGCCTGGCCAACATGGCAAAACCACGTCTCTACCAAAAATACAAAAATTAGCTGGGCATGGTGGCAAGCGCCTGTAATCCCAGCTACTTAGGAGGCTGAGGCAGGATAATCGCTTAAACCCAGGAGACAGAGGTTGCAGTGAGCCGAAATTGCATCACTGCACTCCAGCCTGGTGACAGAATGAGACCCCGTGCCAAAAAAAAAAAAAAGCCCTCCCATGCCAGAACAGAGGATGGCAGTCCATTTTGATAATGCTGTGTCCTTGGTGTTGGTTCTGATTGAGACCCAATGAGGTCCAGTGCCCTCAAGCCGGGTCTGGGTCCCCTCCCATGTCCTGCGCTCTGCCGCCACTGTTTTTGTTGTTGTGCTGTGCCGTTGTGATTGTTAAGACTCACACTCCTGGCTCAGCAGTGGTTTTCCAGAAGGCCCAAAGAGTGGTGCCGGGCATTCCACATTGCAATGTCCATTCCGGGTTTGGGAAGCTGGGGAGGTGGGCAGACTTGGTCGCATCTCACCACACACACACACACACACACACACACACACACACACACACGTACGCACGCTGTCAGAAACTCGGCCGTTCCCCCCTACCTCGAGCTCTCAATGCTGCTAATCTCTGCCAAGTGTCCCTGTGCTCCAGCACCTTCCTCAAAGGACTGACGCCCGCCCCACGCTCTTTGCGAGGTTGTCCAGGCTGTGTTCGCCGCATGCTCTTCTTCTGTATAGTTCTCATCTTCCAATTTTATGGGATTCAACAAAAACCTATTATGCTTGTTTGCATTATGATTACAATATTAAAAAAGTGGATTCAACTTGGCTGGCTGCTGTCTTCTGTTGGATTGGCTTGGAGTTTCTCACACCTTGGCCTGCTGTCCTGGGTTGGGTGCTCAGAAACCTGTTCTTAGATGGAGTTGGCAGGAAGCTGCCAAGGGACTGCTCTTGGGGAGGAGGGGGAGGGGAGGAGAGGGGAGGGAGGGAGAGGGGAGGGAGGGAGAGGGGAGGGGAGGGGAAGGGAGGGGAAGGGAGGAGAGGAAAGGGGAGGAGAGGGGAGGGAAAAGGAGGGGAAGGGAGGGGAAGAGGGGTAAGGGAAAGCAAGGGAAGGGGAGGGGATGAGAAAGGAGTGGGGAGAAAAGGAGAGGAGATGAGAGGGGAAGAAGAGGGAAGGAGAGAAGAAGAGGGGAAGGAAGAAAAGGGGAGGCGAGAGAGGAAGTAACAGGGAGAGGGAGAAGAAAGACCAGGGAAGGACCAGGAGGGGGAGGGGAGGGAGGGCAAAGAAGGGAAGAGGTGAGATAGTAGAGGAAAGGAGGAGAGGGGAGAAAAGAGGAGGAGGAGAGGGAGCAGAGAGGAGGGAAAGAAAGAAGAGAGGAAAGAGGGAGAGGAGAAGAAAGGTAAGGGAAGAAGAGAGAAAAGGAGGGGAAGGAGGAGGCAGAAGGGAAGGGCAGGAGGAGAGGAGGGGAGGGAAGGTGGCCTCTCTGGTTAGAGGCAAAGCTTGAGCTGCCGAAAGTCTCAACAGAACCTTCAGCCAGCCCTGCAGGGCATTCTAACGGTGACCTTTCAGAGGTGTCCCCATTTGGGACTAGAAGGCAGGATTTTAGACCTCTACATCAGACTGTCTTGAGTCAGACAACTCTCACCAGCAGAAGCCACCCCCAAGGGGCTGAAGGCTGAGGGTGCTCCCAGCAGCCAGGGGACTCGGTCCTGATTCCTGATGCAGATCTGGGTGTTGCAGCGAGCATCCTCTCTGCCCTCCTTCTCAACACCCCCTTGCCTCCAGCACAGCTGCATCCATAGCCAGGGCCCCAGAGAAACAGTGGGACCCTCACCCTCAGCCCTCTTCCATTCAGGGTCCTCCTCCAATTCCTGGCTGGTTTCAGCCCCAGTCCCAAAAGAAACAGACCTCAAAAGCAGTAAAAAATAGATGAAGAGGCTGGACATGGTTGCTCATGCCTGTAATCCCAAAACTTTGGGAGGCTGAGGCAGGCAGATCACATGAGGTCAGGAGTTCGAGACCAGCCTGGCCAACATGGTGAAATACATGTTACTAAAAATACAAAAATTAGCTGGGCGTGGTGGTGGTGCCTGTAATCCCAGCTATTCAGGAGGCTGAGGCAGGAGAATCTCTTGAACTCGGGAAGTAGAGGTTGCAGTGAGCCAAGATGGCGCCATTGCACTCCAGCCTGGGTGACAAGAGCTTAACTCCTTCTTGGGAAGAAAAAAAGTAGATGAAGACTCACTGATGTCAAATGCCTGACACATTTGTGACCATAAGGGAATAAACTAGCGGTTGGGTTTGTTGCAAGGGATGAGGCTTTGTCAGCCCAAGAATCTGCCTTCCTGTCCACCACCCCATGCTGTTGCTAAGACACCCAGACTGGTCTTAGTTCAAATCCCAGCTTCTTCACTTTCTAACCATGCGACTTTGGATAAGTTGGCCAGCCTTTCTCTACTTCCATTTCTTGACTGTAAAATAGGCTATGAGTGCTTCTGCTCCATTGGTTTGTGATAGGGTTAAATGGGATCATACCTGCAGCGTGCTTATGGCAAGACACGATGGAATGGAATGGAGTAGAATAGGTACATAAAATATGGCCCCAACTCTGGTGTCTTCCAACTTTCTCAGCTTTTGTGTCTTCTAGAAGACACAAAACTTCTTCTAGAAGTTCTGACAGCCCATCTTGAAAGTATTTGATACTTAAGCGCTGAGTTTCTCAGGCCTCCTCAGACGACCTGCAGTTATAGGGATCTCTCCTTTTTTTTTTTCTTGAGATGTAGTCTCGCTCTGTCACCCAGGCTGGAGTGTAGTGTCGTGATCTTGGCTCACTGCAACCTCCGCCTCCAAGGTTCAAGCCAGTCTCCTGCCTCAGCCTCCCGAGTAGTTGGGATGACAAGCCCACACCATCATACCCAGCCAATTTTTGTAGTTTTAGTAGAGATGGGGTTTCACCATGTTGGACAGGCTGGCCTTGAACTCCTGACCTCAGGTGATGCGCCCGCCTCAGCCTCCCAAAGTGCTGGGATTACAGGTGTGAGCCACCAAGCCCAGCCGGGATCTCTCCTTTTAAAAGCCAGTGCCAGGCCGGGCGCGGTGACTCAAGCCTGTAATCCCAGCACTTTGGGAAGCCGAGGCGGATGGATCACGAGGTTAAGAGATCGAGACCATCCTGGTTAACATGGTGAAACCCCGTCTCTACTAAAAATACAAAAATTAGCTGGGCACGGTGGCGCGTGCCTGTAGTCCCAGCTACTCGGGAGGGTGAGGCAGGAGAATTGCCTGAACCCAGAAGGCGGAGGTTGCGGTGAGCCGAGATCGCGCCATTGCACTCCAGTCTGGGTAATAAGAGCGAAACTCCGTCTCAAAAAAAAAAAAAAAAAAAAAAAGCCAGTGCCTAGGAATCTCCCTGACCTGTCCAGGAAAAGGCTCAGATATCTTCATGTCTAACCAGATGTCGGCTTAACTTAGACACACTAGAGTTTCAACAGGCTCCATCCACCCAGAGGCAGCCAAGGACAATTTAACATTGTATCCTTCCCCACCAAATGGCTTCTGTTTCCTGGCAACCACTTAAAAACCCCAAGTCTACACCAAAACAGAACCTTCCCAAGTACAAATCGAAAGAGAAGCAAGCGTGAAACAAGTGGTGGGGGTGGGGGGATAAAAATACTTTTGAGTCACTACAAATGAACGTAGAACATGGGCTTCACAGTCCGTTCCAGAGTCAGCATGTGTGGATTTGTTTATTGGACCCTCTACAGGATTGCCGGGAAATCAAAAGCAGGCAAAGTATTTACAATCAAGTGAATCGATAGAGTTTGACATACATCCCTACAAGGAAATCACTTTAGTGATGGCCTCTAGAGGAAAATGAGGTTAAGTTAATCAAACAGCAGAAGAGTTGAGACCTGAGTAATTAGTAAAGCGATTATTTATTTATTTATTTGTATGTATGTATGTATGTATGTATTTATTTATTTTTAGGTGGGCTCTCACTCTGTCACCCAGGCTGGATTGCAGTGGTGAGATCTCGGCTCACTGCAACCTCCGCATCCCAGGTTCAAGCGATTCTCCTGCCTCAGCCTCCTGAGTGGCGGGGATCACAGATGCCCGCCACCATGCCCGGCTAATTTTTGTATTTTTAGTAAAGATGGGTTTTTGTCATGTTGGCCAGGCTGATCTCAAACTCCTGACCTCAGGTGATCTGCCCACCTCAGCCTCCCAAGGTTTTGGGATTACAGGCATGAGCTACCTTACCCAGCCAGGTAAAGTGATGTTTTTTTTTAAACCCTCAAATTTCTTTGTATGACTAGACTCGGGGATGGGGGTACAGAGGTGAGTGATCTCCTGACCTTTCTGCCTCTAGCTTTTCACTGCTGGAACCCAGAGCTTGCATGGGAAACCTCACTCTCTTGGCCCCTTGCTAATTTACTGTGACCAACAATTTTTAGATATTATCTTCTCCACTTTCCTCTTCCCTCCTTCAATTCCTTTTCTCATAAAGAAAGGAACTATGGGGCAAAGCAACAATTAAGTTTGAGAAAACTGGTTGGGCGCGGTGGCTCACACCTATAATCTCAGCACTTTGGGAGGCTGAGGCAGGCGGATCACTTGAGATCAAGAGTTTGAGACCAGCCCGGCCAACATGGTTAAAACTCGTCTCTACTAAAAATACAAAAATAAGCTGGGCGTGGTGGTGTGTATCTGCAGTCCCAGCTATTCTGTAGGCTGAAGCAGGAGAATCCCTTTTGCCCAGGAGGTAGAGTTTGCTGTGAGCCAAGATCACACCACTGCACTCCAGCGACAGAGCAACACTCCATCTCAAAATTAAAAAACAAGTTTGAGAAAGCCTCAGAGACATGCAATAAACTCAAAGTGTAGTATCTGTGGCATTAATTAAACATGATGCAGTGAGTCACCGAATCTGTTTAGTCTTGAACGTTTCTGAAAGAGTCTCTAATGGAAACGCTGTTATTAGCAGAAAGCTGCTGGCAAAATCTATGGGAAAGAGACACCTGTTCCTCTTTCCTCCAGGCTGGTGGCATTGCCTTCCTTGGAAAGCACACGCTGCCCCCAGATTGCCCTTCCTAAAACGGCTCTCTCATCCTGTCATGCTGTTACTCAGTCATTCGGGGCCACTAGGAATCAGAGGAGGAAGGGCCAGCCCCTTTGGCCAACAGTCAGTGCATGCTGTGATCACAAGCGGCCCTTTTCAGCTTCCCTTTCTTCTTCGGCTCCACCCAAGACTGCCTTTCTGGGCAGATTCACCCCAGAGGCTCTAAACACAGCTTTATTTTCCTCCCCATGGGGCCTTTGCCTCTGCCACTCCCTCCTACCTGGAAACCTACCTTCCTCTCCTATTTCTGTTGATGCCATTTCTATTGCTGAGGGTTTGGTTCAAACAGCCCCTTTATGGGTGCCTGCCTCTATCATCTGACTATGCTGCTTGTCTGTACCAATCACTTCACACCCAGGAAGTGTTGCTTAGTGATAGTCATCTGTGTACGTGTCTGTACGTATGTCCTGTCTGCCTCTGTGTACCAGTCAGCTCTTGCCACACTAATGCTGAGTAACAAAACAGTCACAGAAATCTCCCTGGCATACTGCATTATTGCTGCAGAGGTTGGAAGGATGTAGCTGTAGGCCAGGGAATGCCAGTGGCCTCTACAAGCTGAAAAGACGGAGAGCAGATGTCCATCTAGAGCTTCCAGAGGAAACACAGGTCTGCCAAACACTTCAATGTGAGCCCTGAAAGAGCCACTGGGGACTTCTGACATGCAGAGCTGTAAAATAATAACATTGCTTGGTTTGAAGCCACTA